ACACCTGACGACTTCGAGGGGATCCCACGACTCCTCGATCCCCTTGCCAGGATGGCTCCTCCAGGACCCCGAAAAAGAGCCCAGCACTCGTCAAGAATGATATCGCCCCTCCGAGTCTCATATCGACGAGAAGCGTCCCAGTCAACGACCAGGACATCGCCGAGGTAAGTGGACAATTTTTTTCAAGACTTTGCAGGATGTAAAAATATTCCACAAAATTATACAGGACTTTGGGAAATCCTGCAAGGCTTTAATAAAAATCCTGAAAGACTTTACGAGTCTTTTGAGAATTTTACAATATCAATTACGATGCAATACCACCGAGAAAACGGTGTCGCGTGCCGATGTCGAGGGAACCACGAACAGGAACCCCCTGTAGGGTCCTAAGTAAATATTCATAGTACATAACGAAGCTCGAAAGCGAGCCGTCTTAATCCTGGGAGCAAACAGCATAAACGCAGATCCGAGCCCCGGGCTGGGATTTCGCTCCGTTTTTATGGGCCGACGCCGTCACATCGCACGTGGCTGATCCGCGGTAATATGGCTGTGCATTAATATTAAAACTATGAGACCCGTCCCGAAGGGTAACTTTTTAATTAGATTACGAGTGATCGGTGGTCCCACGTTGGTTTTATACATCGACACGGCCGAAGGGTGCACACCCAGCCGAGGATATTGGGTCGGGTCTCCCGGGGTAGGTCGTGTCCCGGGGTGGAATTATAGATTTATGAAAATGAGCACCCTCGTAAATTGAAGCTCCCGGTTTCGCACGCGCGAAATTACACGCGTTTACACGCCCGGCGTAAACCGGCCGCTCGACACCCACGTAAATTGAGTCCCTGAATGCCTGTTAATCAGCCCTTCCATCATTACCCTGGCTGTACTTTCAAAACCGTGGAATATAATTCCTTAGAAAATTTCCATACTCTACGGTTTTTAATTGGAGCCCTATTAATCACCCCTCCTATCATTAGTTTGACCGCACTTCCAAGACTGTGAAATTTCATTCCTTATGGAATTCCCAATATTCTCCGCTTTTTATGATAAAAATCGGGAAATCGTTCCACCTCCACCCGGGGGTATCATATACGTCCAGGTGGCCAGGTGGAAGCGATTCGGATCGTTTCCCAGCGGAACTCGAGGACGAGGATATCGACACCAGTTGCAGGTCCCCGGTGTCCTTTTCGTCGGATGGGGCGCATAAAGGATGAGCACATCGAGGGGAGGGCGGTATCGCGTGGTTTTCGGCTAACATGGTTCCCGTCCCGTATACGCAGGATCTCTCCTTCAGGAGGCGGAGCACCCGAAAAGGGCCTGGAGGGCACTCCGCCCACCAGACGCGAACTCGAGGAACCTGCGTGCACTAAACGCATTCCGGTCACGCAGGTCCTCTTCCAGGGGCCAAGAAACCGGCGTCGCCGTTCCAATCTCTCCGGGGTGAGATTGGACATCGCTGACCGGAGATCTCCCCGGAATCGTTACAAAGCGTGGACATTTGTGACGCGTCAAATTAGGGATTCCCGGCCGCGATCATCCGGCTCCGTTTATTTCAATTCCCAGGGGAAGGATCTCCTCTCCTGTCGGTCCTCGGGGCGCAATAAAAGCCGACTTATTTCCTCCGGGCAGACCTCGCGCGAATCATTACTTTTAACTTGGCTCCTGGGCCTGCCTCGTCATGTTAAGGCTATTAGTTCCTTGGGGAAAGGGTGCTCGAGCCGATTACCCGGCGTTAAAGTCTCCCGGGCCCTCTTGCGGGGTACGGATTCTCCTGCGGGAGTCCCTTAATTTCTCCTGCCTATCTAGGAATACCCATCGCGCGCCTCTATCTTCTACATATATCTCCTCGAGGATTAAATTATCACGTTGTTCCGTACAATTGGGACGCATTTACCGATATCCAACACTCGGATCCTTACGAATCCCGGGGACGCTTTAACGCCGCTGGACTTATAATTAGAAGACGGGGCTAGGAATTAATCATTCCCACGGATGGGCTCGGCGGTCCTAAATAATTCATTCCGGAGATCGGGGATCGCTTTAGGATCGGATGCAAATCGGATTCATTAGCCTCGAGCCAGCAGGGGCGAGGGAAATCGCGCTCCCCTTGGCGTAAACAGCGGCGGGGGTGTGTCAACCTCGTTGAGACGTCGTAGGGGTTGTTATTGCGCGGTTACACCGGCCCCAGGGTCATTCGAGACCCGTCTTCTCGTGTTGGCTGTAAATACTGTTACAAAGGGACCTCTCGACGGTCGATATACGAGTACTTCTCGCATGCATTACATGTATTGTCGCACGTATCGCGCGTATTCTCGCACGTGTTGTACGTATTGCATGTGTCCCATGTACTGGATGCATTGTCGCACGTATCGTCACCGGCTATTTACTTAAGCGTCGCAAACGAACAGCGGGCTCCGATTCGCCGGATTTCTATCGATCTGGATCACCATGCGTGACGTTAAACGGAATTGAACGAGCTTAACGAAGCGCTGTCATAATGCGAGGTGGTCCATTGTCGGGGCGCATTGCGTAACGAGCCCTCGGTAATGTGATGAAATGAACGCAATTCAGGGTGGATGTCGACTTTCCCGGGTTGTCCATACTCGAGAGCAGGCTCTGAAATCGATATTCGAATTATCAGTAAAATATTTAATTCATCCGCAATCCAGGTACACAATTAAATTAACACGGAGACGACGGGAATTTCCGGATGCGAGAAATTGTGAGGGCGATTTTTATTTTCTTCTTTTTTTTTCCCCCTCTTTTTTGGTATATCGGAAAAAGGGTTGCACAAAGGGAGGGACCCGGCTATGAGGGCGATGATTGAAAACGATACCTAGATCCACGAGGGAGCTTTCGCGAGGTCGGGGCTCGAACTCGGGGCAGGGCTCGGTGCCCTCGGGATTACAGAGATTACACAGAGATTGAATCACTTCCCACCCGCCCTTCGTGGCCGCCGAAATATGTCTCCGCCAAGCTGTCCCTTAATCACGGTGTCTTTACCAGAGTCCCCTTTTGCCCCCAACGTGCTATCACGCGGCCCGACGTGCCCTGATATCGCTGACGAGTATATACCTGGAACTGAGCTCGATAAAAATATCGTCGATTAATGCTAACGCTAAAACATGTAATCGGGATTTAACAAAGCGCATGTAACTCGTAATTGAATTCCCACTTACATGGTAAAAATGTCTTTTGTCTTCTTCCTCTTCGCCAGTGACTGGTAAGGGTGTCTGGAGCTCGGTAGAGTTTCGCACCAAATACATTAATGAAGCATGCGCGAACGGCGCGGAGTCCTTAACGCTTCAGTCTTCTTTTATCTCCCGTTAAAGCAAGCTCGGCCAAGAACCTTCTGGAAGTCAAACAAATCCACGGCACGTGCCGAACTGCCTGTTTGTTTTCCATCACTCGCGACCTGACTTTAATTTCGAATCCGACGTCCAAACCGCCTCGGAAGCTAGGCAGATACCGAATTCCATGCTGACTCGACGTCCCTCTTCGAGTCTCCTGTGGAAGATTTTTTTTATATTAAATATTATTCAAATAAGTCTCTAATAATTTCCATTCGAGAGGTGAAGTGTAGAATTTTATGAGAACCTTATGTATCTAAAGTGTATGAATTTTATGAATATCTTTAAAACAGGGCATCTCGCCTGGAAGGGAGGCTGCCTCGTAAAGACCAGCTCGCTGCGTACGCAATGCGGATAGATATCAGCGCCCTGTAATCAACTCCTGTTTAATAAAACTAGCTATGCCGCTCGCAGGAAATCATCCGCACCCCGCCATGGGCTCGCTCCACCTCGCAACCCCCTTACAACCCCTTGGCCGAGGTGCGTCACCCAGGAGCTCGGCTAATCTGACTTTGATTAAACTTTTAACAACACCTAAAAGGGTGCTAACCGATACCTCGGTTCCACCGTCACCTAAGTCGATTTTTATTACGTTCTGCCAGACATAAATTAACGGCCAGGGTCGAACAAGTTTATCGATGCCGAGGATTATCGGGGGAATTAGAATCCTCGAAGATGAATGCACTTCTCCTCCCGAGCGGATTGGATTAGAGAATCATGGAACGTGAAAACGGATTACGCGAACCGTTGTAAACTCTAAGCGCTTGATATGATAATAAATAAATAAGGCCGACTCTTCCGTCCTACCCTGTTAGAAATATTCAGTAAATTCATGCACTTTTAGTACCTAAGGTTGTAGCAGAATTATACAATATCCTAAATGTGACGGAGAATGTTATTAAATTATGGAGTATTTTTTTAACGGGGTAAGACACCTAGGGGGAGCATATAAGAACTTTCCGACACTTCTGTTAACTTCCTCGGCTTAATATACCTTTGTGCCTCGAGTGGAGACGTGCAAATATCTGAAATTTATAACATGGTTATTATTATCTCTTATGGTTTATTATTTGTTGAGCGGTGATCGGACGTAAAGGAATTCTAGGGCTCCTACTTGCTCGGTGGGTTACTATCATTCTGCATGACATGAATGTACTTCAGGAGGCTCTGTGGATATATTCTGTGCGCCTTTGGGACATAAATAACCCTGTTTATGATTATGGCTTGCTGTGTAGGACATGACGCATGTATGAGTTTAAGCAGGGTATGGTGTGGAGATAACAGTGTGCGACTCGCTTGGTCACTTGTCTGTGATAACGGGAAACTTCGCTGTCCTCCTTATGGTGATGACCTGCTTTCCTTGTAGATTAGTTGACAATACTCGGTGATTTATTAACGTACTCTGGACTGTTTACTTAATGTTCCTGGAAAGGACTTGTGCACTTTTTCAACGGAGGAATTTCAAATTGGGAAATCGCGCTTCGGTTTTAGGCGCGACTTTCGAATCGGCTCGTCTGTGGCGACATCTGTCGATGCGACCGTGAAGTTACTTCACGGTAGTTTCAGATATTTCGACAGTATTTTTACTTAGCCATTATTTTCTTGATCAATGATTTTAACGACTGAGGAGATATATATAAAATATATAAAGTATCAGAGAAAGACAGAGACGCACACGTGGGATTTATTCTATACATAATATAAACTTGATAAATATTTCAATACTGTGAACACGTTACTAAACGTAGCGTCCAATTATTAAGCATAAATTATTACGTATAAGTAACGAGTGTGTTATTAAATATATACAAAACTCTCGGGATGGTGCGAAGGGGTATTATAATCTTCTGTAATTGTCACGCTGCTGAGTTTGCGGTCCTGATGTTATCGTCGAGTAGATGAATGGTATGACACTGGCCAATGCCAGGCATAAACCGATAACTGGACGGTACCATACCCATGCAAATCCAATAACTAATAAGCTGATCGACATGGAAACAGACATAGTAAGAGATTCTATGGCAATTATTCCACATAAAAAGTTGGAATTTAAAATCAGCGTTTTCAGAATGTTTGCTAAACACGTTGCTGCCAGGAATAACACCAACCAACCTAGACCTCTAAAAATATATTATCATTAGTTATTGTTAATGCACTAACGATTAAATTATTGCTTTACCTAATAGTCCATGTGCGCCAATAATTGTGAACATGTTCCAAATGAAACATTTGGTCAACGGTTAATTTATGTTTTCTTTGAAGAAGGATCTCTTCTCTGTGCGATGTGTAATAAGGTACAATGGTTCCTTCCGATAACATTCCAACAACGGAATACACGTCTCCCACTTTTCCAGCATATGAGAATTGAATTCGTATATCTCCTACCTGTGAATTAATTATTTCCATTACGTTCGTTTTCTTCAATGATCTTTTCAAATTTTTCTTTGTATATATTTTTGAATGTTAACCAAAGCAGCATACCTGAGGATTCCAAAGATCATTACAGTGATAATAAAGTCCTGAATGAAGTTTAATATCTCTTCGCTCTGGTCTTTCATCACCAGTCACTTCAACAAAGTCAGTGAATTTCATTTTGAGTTCAGACCCAAGTGATATAGTTCCAATTTTTACTTCGTGTGCAATTTGTACTTGACTTTTAATAGGTATTTCCCTAGGGTTATGATGTCCAGTTCTTATATAAAATTGATCAGAGTCGATAAGCTTATCCTTCCATTCAGTGGTGTAATAATAATTTTTGTCCTCTTCCGTGACACCACCAAAACTAAAGCAGTACATTTTAGAAACTTATTAATACCAATAATCACCTTTTACGGCAATGAGAGACGTGTTAATTATTGAATAACAAATAGAAGTCTACCTTCGTTCCTCTTCAATTTCAATCCACTGGTACATTTGCACTCTTCTTTTTAATTTAATGGCAGCCATAATTACTCCATATTCTGGCTCAGTTAATGGCTCTGATATACTTAAAGGGCCTGTTAAATGTACAACACGACCCTCGAACTCAGGAAATGCTTTCGTCGGATTTGGCAGTGAGACTATACTGCGTAAAGCTTCATCTAAAGAATGCGCAACTTTAACCGCTCTACCCTGTAAAAATCCATTTTTTAAAGGAACATTTATTTTTCCCTTAAAATGTACCTGTTGGATACATACCTCATTCCAAAATAAGAGACACATGCCAAATGCAAATAATATTGATCCTATAATAGCGGTAAGCCACGACTCCTTAAATTGTTCCGAAACCGACATCGGTACATGTGCAGACCCCTGTTGCCTGTCAGAGACATGATTCCGATGTTCTGGTTCATTGTTTACTCGTTGTGGCTGTCCATTTTGCTATTAAAAATATTTGAATTAATTGGATATTACACTTATTCGCGAAAACAAATTTTAAGCCTCCGTCAAGCAAATCGATCACGAATCATTTCATTGGAATATTTACTAATACCACTGTTATCACGACGAATGCATGCTTCTTATGGCATTTGCAATTGCATAATCAATTTTTTACAGAATTAGTGCAATGGATTATATTCAGATGTACAATTCTTACATTTGTACGATACATCCTAATTAATGAATTTTCAATGGGGCAGCCAGTAATTTTATCTATACTATTTCATTCATAAGTAACAACTGTATTTCATTCGTGCACACCATTTTTCAGGCTATACAAGTAAACCTCCCGAAAACCGTCGCATAATCGAACAATGCAGGAGCGAACTGTTTATCTCGTGGTCATCTTCTATGCATCTGACATGGATCCAGACGAAAACTAACCTCTTCACGGGAAGATGAATCCAGCGCTCACTTTGGTTGAAGCTTAGACAATTTAAAAAAAAAATGGCTCATCAATATGCCACCCTTGTTTAGACTACACATATTTAAAGCTGAACACTCTTTCGAACTCGGTGGTTTCTGCAAACCCAATTTCAAATTATCTTAAAATCATTACCGTGAAATATAGGGGCGCACGAAATTATATCGACGGCCCTGTATAAAAAAGAACCCCCACGCAAAGTTGGGGTAAAATATTTCATTGCATCCTATTGGATCTCTAATACGTAAGAATGAACCAATAGGACGCGTTATCTTAAACATCTTGTACAGATAGAATTTACCAGTTTCTGGTCATTGTTCCAAGGAATTCGACCCATTTTTGGGCAAACTATTTTATCAGCAGTGAACCTGCTTTGGAAATAGGTTAGAAGTTCCCATAGTGGCCACCAAACAGTGGCGGCAGCACTGTCGATATCTACATCCTAAAATCCCATCGACCAATCGGAACAGTCCACGAAAAATTTAGAGGCGGCGTATAACGAAGGAACGTTCAACACTTGAAGCGATTTTATTACGATATTGTGCCCGGCGAGGTGCACAGTTCGGTGTTTGTGGATGCGGAGGTGAGAGTCAAAGAGGTTTTGCATTATTCCAGAGAAAAATGCGGATATTAATAGGTAAGTGAATTTACAGCAGCGCATATCAGTTATTCGATATTCTTGCTGGTCCCCAACCGGCGAATGTAAAAATAAAAACCGGATTAAGTACATTGTTTGTGTGCGCCTCGTTGACTGTCGTCCTTCAGCAATTTTCGTATAATGTTGTGATCTTTATTATTATTTCTTGATCAGTCAGTAATTTCGATAATTCTCTATGGTTTTCATTGTCATCTGCTGATAAAAGGTAGAACAATGAAGAGGAGCATCGAATGTATTTCGATCCACCCGTATAATCATTGTTTTTGTTTAATTTTTTCATAAAGTGTCTATCGTAATGGTTGATTATAGTTTATCATATATGTCCTGTTGATCCTTTGATTGTTTTTGACTTTAAAAGGTTTGGCGACGCTGTTTGTGGGAGTACAGTGTATGTACTCTAATTCGGATGTTATTGAATTAAATCCGACCAATTTCGATAGCAGAGTAATAGAAAGTGCAAATATCTGGGTCATTGAATTTTATGCTCCATGGTGTGGACATTGCCAACAACTGAAGCCAGAATATGAAAAGGCTGCGAAAGCTCTTAAAGTAATAATTTTGTTTATGTTTTATATAATTCGTGCAGGTTGTTGAAGCAGTTCCGTTACATATATATTATTTTTTTTCTTTCAATCAGGGTATCATAAAAGTTGCGGCGATAAATGCAGATGAACACAAATCTTTAGGAGCAAGATATGGTGTGAAAGGATTTCCTACTATCAAAATCTTTGGAGCTGATAAACAAAAACCTGAAGATTTTAATGGACCACGAACAGCAAGCGGCATTGTTGATGCTGCAATTAATGCAGCTTCTCAAAAGGCTCAGTCGCTCCTGAATGGCAAGAAAAGTGGTGCTGGCTCCAAGGTATGTTTCAGATTAACGTACATATTCTTCTTGTGAATACATAAAGTATACAATAACATTTTTTTTTTTTCAACAGGCTAAAGATTCAAAGGATGTAATAGAATTAACTGATGACAACTTTGATAAACTAGTCCTGGATTCTGATGACATGTGGCTGGTCGAGTTCTATGCCCCATGGTGTGGGCACTGTAAGAATTTAGCTCCAATTTGGGCTTCTGCTGCTACAGAACTGAAAGGAAAAGTTAAATTAGGAGCACTTGATGCTACTGCAAGCTCAATGAAAGTGAGTATGTGGTTTGCGTACTCTTGAGTGAATGAACTGCAGTAAAATTAATTCTGAAACTATGTTCTAGGCTAGTCAATATGGAATCCAAGGTTACCCAACAATAAAGTACTTCCCTCCGGGTAAAAAGGATTCAAGTTCTGCAGTTGAGTACGATGGTGGTCGTACAAGCAGTGATATCGTTAACTGGGCAATGGATAAGTTGTCAGAAAATATTCCAGCACCAGAGATAGTCCAAATAGTGAATGAAGAAAGTTTGAAGAAGGCATGCCAAGACAGAGCATTGTGCATTGTATCAATTTTGCCACACATTCTTGATTGCCAGTCTGACTGCAGAAATGGATATCTGAAAGTTTTGAATGACCTTGGTGATAAATACAAAAAGAAAATGTGGGGGTAAGTCTTTAGTTCTGAATTCTCTCCGTGGATACGTTTTGTCCACGGCACAGTTTTACATTCATAAATTATTTATTTTAACGTAGATGGGTGTGGGCCGAGGCTGGAGCGCAACCAAACATTGAAGAAGCTTTAGAAATAGGAGGTTTTGGATATCCTGCTTTAGCAGCAGTTAATGTTAAGAAAATGAAATATTCATTGCTGAAAGGCAGTTTCTCATACGATGGGATTAATGAATTTTTGAGAGACTTAAGTTATGGACGCGGTGGAACTGCTCCATTAACAGGTTCCGAGTTGCCTGTTATCCACGAAACAGAACCATGGGACGGCAAAGATGGGGAATTACCTCAGGAAGAAGATATCGATTTAAGTGATGTCATTTTCGATGATAAGGATGAACTTTAAGTTCTGGACTGAAACACTTTCTCTAAACTTGAACTTCTTTTGTTACAATTATTAGTTCATTTACGTTACAGGAGATTCATACAAAACAGCAACAGATAAGGTGTCTCCACTGATGATAATTATATCTGTTTATTGTTACATACATTTATTATGAAACATCACAGATTATCTATAGAAGTTCCAACAAACTCATATATATATGCATATATAATTTTCTTACAGACACATACGATAAGATTACTTCCTACATTCTCAAAAATGAAAAAAAATTTACAGGCTTTTGTTCGATAGATCTCATTAAAGTCTGCACGTTTCCTCTATAGATTCCTCTCGAAATAAGAGATGTAAAACTTTTAGTACCAATTGATGTGCTTAGGAATCTCGAGTTTACTCTGCATTTTGACATTAAGTGACGTGATGTTTTCCAAGTAAATTAATTTTGGACAGAGATAAATCAAACTTTTTATAAACGCCTTTACTATCCAAGACTTTTTAACATATGTGAAACTGGTTGACTAAAAGATTACTCAATTTAAATTAACCACAATAATGGTTTCATAAAACTGGAACTTATTAATATCTGAAGATAACATTCCATAGCAATTTTTTTTTCAGATTGGGGCCAAATATTTGAACAACGGAAATTCAACTACAGTCTTATAGATTATTCTTTATTAGCGCAATACATATTTCTAATTGCTAGTTACAGGAGAGATAGTCGTAACTAAGTAACTCCTAATTTTTACATATTTTAGTATTGCTTGAATTAATAATTTTGCATACACACGTTTTAATTACCTAATCTTTAATTTACAAATAATTCGCCAATTAAAATTAACGATTATATAGAAATTTACCCAATCTTGGGTCACGTCTTCCATAGAGTTCAGAGATTTCATAGGAATTATTCCGACATAGGCGTTATACAATAAATTGCAGCTTGATACAGCTCCTTGATTTTATGAACATTTTATGAGTTATCAAGCGGCATTGTCACAAAGCCTGAAGATATTTACACTTCATGTCACGCATATTTTTCATAATTTTCGCAAGAGATTATGGAATTCATACCGTTATAGTTTAATTTTACCGTTTGGAAATTAAACTTCACAACATAACATTGCAATCGGTGTGTTATATGAAACTATAATATGACTTAATGTTAATTGTGATGATCATTCATTTGTCTTTTTATTAAACAACATTCACAATAAAAATATTTTCCTGTATTTTTCTTTGTGTGTCCAAAAAAACCCGGTCCTGTATTATCATATTTGGTACAGTTGCAATTAACTTTATGATGGACGGTTTCATAATGATTATATCAATACACGAAACACTTTTCATTGTTCAAATAAATTATATCTGCTCGATGTAATTGTAGTGACACACAAATTAAAACATGAAGGAAAAAAGGACTATACATTGTGCGGACAAGTATTACTATGATTATATTTAGTATAGATTACTTGATCGCATTCTTAAAATAAGGTACATTTTGGTTTTTACAGTAAAAGGGTCAATAAATGTGTTTATTGACTAACTGGAATGACGTTTTGGCAGTGATACACTTGTGCTGGTTTATGATAAGGCTCAAAAAATCGACCATACATACCTACAAAAAAAGTCTACATTCTACAATACTAGTACAAAAAGTCTTTAGTTTGTTTATAATTTTACACACTTCTTCAATTGAAGAAAAGACCTATCCTACCAGTAAAATTATGTTTTAGCTTTGTTCTTGACACCGGCTCGATATTCAAGTGTTCATGATTCCAGAAAACATTTGCTGTGAGACAATTGTTTCTTTTATTCAATTACTTAGATTCTAAAGTACTTAGTCTAGAATATCTAAGCTTCTACCTTATTGATTAATAATACGTTCGTATAAGTAGAGAGACAAAAATACAAATGCATATAAAAATCGAAACCAGCCTTGATGATTATACCAGTCTATGCAAGCTTGCGTATAAAAAGTCTTTAACCTATCGGTAAAAGCAGTATTTGACCTATCAGTAAAAACAGATCATTGGATTATATATAAATATTAGAGTAATTCATTTTCATTTTTGCTGTATAAAATACATTTGTTCAAAAAAGGGTATACTTTTTCTGCTTGTCATGATTTGCTTTTACTAAGAAATTGTTTCAATTGTAAAATGATCTAAAAACTTGAGAAAACGTTTTACAAATTAAATTGAATATAAATGACATATCTGCTCGATGCATAGGATAACGACATGCTTACTGTAGGTGTATAAACAATGGCTATTATAGTTATCAAGCTTGCTTTAGAAAATAGTCAAAAGCTAGGCATTGTCTTTGTTTTACGTGCCGTAACATCCTTAAAACAAAGAATGCTTCAAGATTAAATTACGGCACGCATAGTCAAACGATATTTGATAACTCCATCATATCGTAACTCCTTTGCTGCCTACATAAATATGGATAAAGAATGAAACCATAATATGTCACTGTACTTAGCATAATAACGCCAAGTATTATACCGATAATACCCCATGCAGATAAAGCAGAAGTTTTACCGTTTTTAGCATCAAACTTTCCTGTATCTGCTCTCTGTGTAGATTTTTGATTTTTAGTGGCATTGGCGATGTTTGCAGTGCCGACTTGCGGCTTTCCCCACTGCGACTGACCGTTCTCTTTCGAGTGACTTCGTGAGTAGAATCCAGCCTCGGCAAGATGGATAACTGAAGATATCGCTCTCATGAGACAATGAATATATTCTGAATTTTACAAGTTAGTTACTACACGATCATTTTAGTATATCCGACTATAAGCTTCGATCACTTAATCCGAAAATATGTCACGAAATTAACTGATGCTACCAGTTTCTGATAAAGCTTTACACTTTCCTTCAAAATTAATAACATTTGAAAGACGCCGGCTTTTCCTTTTTTTTTTTTTAAATCGTTCGAGAATAATGATAAGATTTAGCAGAACTCACCGAGGAGGGCAATAAAACAGCACGTAAGCTTTGATAGGTACATTGTTTTAAATAAATACTGTTCTGTTCCGAGTATTATTACTTAAATGTCAGGAAACTCTTCTCCCGAAATTCCACGCGTTCCGTCAATTATCCACTCCAGCCTTTCTTTCTTCCTTATGTTGGATTTCGGTCCAGTGATTTGAGCCCAGTACCACCACTCCGACCTTTATGTCAATTGATCAATTTTTTTTTTTATTAAGTTGCAGCTCCGTTTACATGAGCCTGCGTTTAAGCTGGAACATAGACTATGAAAAGAGGACGCGATGTCCTGCCCGTGAGCAATCTCCCAACTCATCTCTGGTTTCTCACATCTTTATAAAGTTATTCCCTTGAGAAGCCCTTCGGTCGCTGTTTTGTGCCATCTCTGGATTCCTGATTTTAACCTTGCCGCGTGAAAACGTGTAAATCAATTTCATGATTGGTCATAAAAATAAGCCAAAGCAGCCAATCAGCACTTCATAGCTCGTTGATCTCGCGAACTAGCGGCAGGACAAATCGTGCACATCGAATTAACCGGAATAACAATGGTGTCTACTCGTGGCCCGAAATTTAAATTCTCCGACGGTGAAAAAGTTTTGTGTTATGAGCCAGATCCAACGAAAGCAAAAGTTCTCTATGATTCCAAGGTACTCAATATATTTAATTTTACGTGTAAAGTAATCGTTCACTCGACCGGCATCTCGGAGTTTTCTTGTTTTTGTCTCGCTTATTTTTAACCTCAAAATCAGCCTAATTGACAGATAGTAAACTCTCCCTACACATTCTCGTTTCTTTACAGGTTTTGGATGTCATTGTTAATAAAGATCAAAGGGGACGAAAGGCTGTTGAGTATTTAATACATTTTCAAGTAAGTTTAATTTTATTCCCTGCTGTACCTGTCTTGAAAAAAAAAAATGTGTTTAATTCAATTGTACTATATTTTATTTTCCATTTAATTTGTTCTAATAACTCTGTAGTTCCAATATATTTTATAGGGATGGAATTCTTCATGGGATCGCTGTGTGACGGAAAAATATGTTTTAAAAGATACCGAAGAGAACCGTCAGTTACAGAGAGATCTTGCTCAGAAAGCTCAATTACAACTGTATGTAAACATTCTGTAAATTTATTAAACCGGTTCACCCTGAATTTATTGCATGCTCTTCTTATTAGTGGTGCATACCTGTATCGAAGAGAACGTAAAAAGAGAAGTCACAAATCGTCGGAACGGTTGGCAGGTTCAGGAACGGAATCACGATGTAAACCTAAAAGTACTTGTAGTCATGCAACTTCCGTTACAACTGGGTCGTCTGAAGATGGTAGTTCCGGCTTACATGATGACTATGACACAGAGGTAATCTTCTCCATTCTAGATCTAGGAAAATATGAAATTAAAGTGAAATACAATCAAGAAAATAAAACATGTAATATAATGTTTAGGGTGCTATAACAGAGGAAGAAACGGAAAGTAGTTCTGATTACACGGAAGAAACCAGTGATGATGATGACAGTGGAGGAGGTAGTGTCGGAGGTCAGTCTGGTGGTACTGGATCTTGTGTGGATCTTGATATTGGCCCTACTTTAAGACATATTTTGGAACAAGATTATGATCTTATTACTCATAAGAAGAAGGTTTGCAAATATTCTTTAAACTTGACTACACTGATTCAATGAATTTCAGCAATCGTGGCATCTTATAATTTTTTTTTCAGCTCGCTGTATTACCTGCTCAACCAACAGTAATAAATATTTTAGAGTCATGGGTGCAACATTTTACTACTTTACAGCTGACAGCTTTTGCAGAAAAAAATCAAAGGGTAAAATCAAATGATACCATAGATAAAGCAGTAAAAGATGCCAATATCTGTCGCCAGGTTGCAGACGGGTTACGTATCTATTTTGATTTTACACTTCGTGATCTTTTATTGTATAAACAAGAAAGGGAGCAGTATTTGTCAGTGAGATCTCGTTTCCGGTATGCTGAATTTGCACCTTCAACCAAAGAAGAAATAATTACCGAGGAGTGAGTATCAGTTGATACAATACATATATTTTGAATATCTTATGTGCCGATTAGAATATTCTGGGCACTTTCAAGCTAATTTATTGTTTTTAGGAATGTAGACGTTTTTATTAAAGAAGAACCAGAAGATATTGAATATGCTCACTTACCACCATTTCGAGAACAAGAAATCGAAATTGAAAGCTCGCCTAAATCTGCTCATCTTGCAAAAAGGCGACTAAGGTCCTGCAGAGTAAGCTCCATCGAAGATGGAAGACAGTTACGTTGCTATGATGACATAAAACAAGAACCAGGAAATGTATCAAGGTATCATCATTTCTTTTATTGAATTTTTATGTTTATTGCATATTTAATTCATTGAAAAAAAGATAACATTTATTTTGATTTTACGTTTCAGTATGGCAAGTACAAGTTCTCGCTGTTCTAGCCCACGAAGCGTAACTTTAAAAGTTCCACACATACTTTCGGCTCAAGTAAGCGTACTTCTTCAGCAGTCGAATAAATGGAGGCTTTTACCAGAGACAGCAATAAATAGTGATTCATTGTGGCCGTCAACATACTATGGTGCCATTCATCTGACACGTCTTTTTGGTGAGTTTTAACTAATAAATTTCATGTCAGGGTAATCTTGCAACTGGCCATAGTCATCAAGAATTTTACAATGGCTGCATAAATCTTTCGTTACTTTTTTCAGCTAAATTACCAGATTTATTACAATCTTCAGACATATCTGTCAAGAAACTGAAAACACTGTTAAAACATTTAGATATGTTTTTAAGGTAAGATGAACATTCCAATAAAAAATATTTAGGCTTATTTATAAATAGAAATTGATGAAACGATAGATAGTAATAATTTTTAACATTGAACGCAATTTCAATTCCACAGTTATTTGGAGTTACACCAAGAGTGGTTTGGAGAACAATTTTATACGAGTGCGGAAAATCAGAACCTAGAGTTACCGGAAAGCCCCTGAAAAATACATTCTTTTTGTGTTGTGAGTCATTAAATATATTTTTGTGAATACTAGATAATAAGGTATTAAACAATTTTTTCTTTAAAATCAAAGTTTCTATTTAAACAGATGTAGGGTAGTCGAGTAATTATTGGGATCTTTTCTATTTCTATTTTCAGTTCGTTTTTAAAACGCATTTATATTTACATAACAATCGTGCTATATTACAATTGCTTTTAACCAATAATCGAAAAGAGATGTAAAAATTGTACACACATGTACATAATATTCATTGGTACATTCTATGTAACTGTATACAACCACGATAATATTATTAAAGCTCGGAAATTATACTATTTATCAAATTTAACACTAAATTGGTCCAGTATAATATTAGGAATATTGCTATGGATTAAAGTTTTCGACTCTGCGGAACATCTTGCGAACGCTTCCAAAAAGTGCAGCATCGATCCTCCGTCAGCTTCCAAATCGTTTGTTAATCTTCCACTATATTAAATCAGACAATTTTTTAATTGAACGTTACAAATATTCGATATTATTATATATAGTTAGTTCAATTCATTCACATACCTATCAATAGTTACGGCGGTTACTATGTACTCGCACAGCAAGACTGCATAATGTCTAAACACAGAATCATGGAATTGGACAAGAATTGTCCTTAAACCCATTATAAAAACTGCTGTATCGAGTGGATCTTGATTTCTTTTGCTTAAAAGAGTAGCTGCAAAGTAAAAATTTAAGTGGCAGCTTAAAATCACTAGCTAACTTCAAAGGGTGATCCGAGTGATCTTGTAAAAATAGTACTAAACGCGTACCTAAGGTTTTGGAATAATATAATTTCGAGAGTTGTGATATCGTCACCAAAAACATTATCGATGCAACACTGCGCATGCTTTTAGCTTTTATGTAGATTTGACATTGAGTATCTTCGATGCCAGTGCGATCTACGCGTCCACATAATTGAAACAAAGTTTCTGCCTCTTGGCGACTTCCTATACTTTCCTCCGTTCTATTTGACATTTCGGAAAGAATTTTCCTGAAAATGGGAGAAAATTACATGTATGCCTCAGTTAATAATTTTTTTTTTTCATAGGTTTACACTACGAGTAATACTTACTCCGTAAAGGTCCTAAGAGCAGCTTCCATATGTTTTGCCTCGAATCTACAAAGAATATTCAATTCCTTCGTGATCCTTTTCCTTAATAATTGCAGGTGCCCGATCTTCTGGATTTTATCAAGTACCGAAGGCCATATCTTGCTTACATATTGATTAGCCATCATTTGCAACTTTCCCAAGTCATCTAAACAAATTAGGATGGTAATACAATATGATCCATTGAGAAGACTTGATTTTCTAAATGCAACATTGTAAAGTTCTAAGAGATACTTTAAATAACTTACCTTTAGTCAGACGTTCATTGTCAAAAAATGAGTTGCATTCATCCAACACTTCCTGCCAACTTTTGCTGCGACTCTCAACTTTTATACTGTTCACGAGAGTCGTTAGTTCTGTTACAATTAGGAAACAAAGCATTTTATCGATCCCATACAGCCCTGGTGGTCCGATCGCTCGTAGAATTGTAGAGAAGGTACTGTGATTAACAACCTCGTTTTGGGTCTTAAAATCGTACCAAACAAGAGCATGCTCCATGTAGATGGTACATCTGAAGGGAGAACACGTTAATTTTTTTTATTTTCAGAATTTAAATCATATCGTTACCTGGGATCAGTGATGCGAATTAATTCTTGCAGAACCCTTCCCATGAACGTTGAGCCCAAACCCTGTGCCGATGTGTAAGTTTGTTCATCTTGAAAGAATCCGCCTACTTTTCGTGGAATCCAAGTGGAACCTTTGCACTCTCTTTCCACGGCGTGATTTATTATATATATCATCTGAAAATTAACTATGACAAATTAATGGGACGTCAAGGTTGAAAATATGGTGACGATAAGGTGTACCACTTACTTCTTCGTGCCATATTTTTAGACTGTTGATATTAATGTAATCTTGAATGTAATGAAAAGACCTACGGTACCCATCCATAATTCCGGCCAATGTTTCAAGTTTCTTCACCAAGTCCGTCTAAAACAAGAAACTTTCAATTTTAAATTAACAATCAGTGATGTGATATCGACTGACTCCCAAAAGTGATATATAAGAGAGAAATATTATAGAGTGTTGAGTTACCTTTGTTCGAGTATCGAAAACAAGACCACAGTGAAGTGCAGTAGTGACTCTCTTTATAAGTTCTTGACGTACTCCATCCTCAAGAAGACGTTGAGAGTCCACCCTTAATACTCCCAAGGGAACGCTTTGTAGTGACAGCAAACCTTTAGTGAAAACTGATATATTGTATGTGAGTTTTGCTACCTAAAATGAAGCAACGATTTCAAAGATGGTCCGCTAAGTTCTTTCATTCTTTACGTGGGAATAGATATATTTTATACCTTTAATCTACCATCTAATTGCGCGAAATCCTTCATTTTTTCTTTACTCAATTTACTGGGGATTTCCTTAAACGTATTCGTCTCAAGGGTAATGATATCAGCGAGTAATCCAAACACAGTTGCTGGGATAATCTGTAGTACTCGGCGTGCAAAAGCTTCCAATTCTCTGCTGTAATATTGCGAAACCGACGATAAATCTGCACTGTGCGATTGATTTATTCTCAGAAGGGGCATTTCCAGGGCCGAGGCCATCTAAAATGTAAATTGAAATTTTGAGTATAGTCCACTAGTCACGTTAATGGAAATTATTTTTAACACTTATTATAGTTGGCGTTACCTTTGAAAATAAAGCCTTTAATTTGATGACAATGGGAGGATGTTCTTTTATGGATTCTTGCATAACGTCAACGAAAGAATCCAATATGTTCCAGGCGTAACAACAATCTGTTACGATATTTAATACGATCATGATGTCTTCTGTTACAGTCGATGATCTCAACATGTTACGCAGAATTTCACGCGTATCGGCCAGGTATTGTAAAATATGCGAGTTATTTTCCAGTTGATGAAATTCTGAAAGGTATACGAATCATGTGAAAAAAACTACGTGAAAGATATAATTAATAAATGTATGGAAACGATATCGTCACCTTGAACTTCTTCTAGTGCTTGCAACAACTGCACTATTTTTTTGCCGTCTTCTTGCTGCAGTGAATCGATGTGAGTAGCAATTTCCCGAAACCACACTTGAAGGCACTGATTTTTTTCTATGCAATCTATATTTCTTTCACCACTAAACGTTTCAGCAAGTTCGCCAATACGTTCGACACATACTTGTTTGTTTTTAAGCCACGATGATTCTTTGTCTTCGAATAACTGCACATGAGCAAATTACAAAATTCATACTCGAGCATTATACACTGTATTTTTTAATAAAGCTACACACACACCTGTTTACATATTTGCTTGACATCATGTTCAATTTGAGCTGTACCAAGCAGCAACTGAAGACACTCTCGTGGTATATATTTACTTTCTTGAAGAACAAGTTGTTGCAATTTGCGCGAACGCTTCGAGGGAATAGACAATCCACTAGGAGTCGCTACATGAAGCAGGATCCAGTGTAGTGTCACATTACAATCTCTAATTAATTTCACAAGAGCTTCAACGGCAATTTCATCCATTAGTACCGAGATCTGCTTATCACTGATCTCCGTGATTAGATCCTAAAACGGCGAGGATTTTAAAACATAAGCTAAATAATATTAATGCCCAGAAATTAATTTAATATGAAGTATTCACATTGAACGACAGATGCAAATCTTTGAATAGAAACACATTCACTTACTTTCATTTTTACTCCATATTTTTGAGCATGTTTTTTGACGTTAGAAGTTTCGAGAGTATTGTCAAGGGCACTTCGCGCTGCTTTGTAGGGAAACCACCAGTCCAAAAGATTTATCACAATCCCCATATATACGCTTATGACCCAACTATTTGGGAAAAACCTATCGACTACTTCCCTCATTAATGCAGTTTGATTGTGCAATATGTTTGGAGCGAAAGCTAAAGCCACTACGAGCATCGATGCTTGATTCGCTAGTGCAGTAGACCGATGCTCTGGTAAAGGGAAAGCAAGGTTTTGGTTGTATAACTCGTCGCAGCGTAATCGTTCGATTATAAGCTCTATGAGCGAGTTCTTTATAGGTATTCTCCTAAAACACATTACAAACTATGAATGAAGAAAACTAACATTCCTATTCTTTCACTAAACCATTGTCTCATTCAATGTCGGAAAAAACACAATTAAAATATTAAATGCACAATACTGACTCACATAAAATAAGCTTCGGGATAATTTGATGGACGTTTTGCTTGTACTTGACTAAATCCAGTCGAACGGAGTAATACACAGACATCGTCTAATCTCGTTGAAGAAGAATTCTGTACATTGTAGCGATAGTGAGAAACGAGCAGACGCTCTCGAATGTAGCCTTCGAAATATAAGTCTGTTACTAATAGCATTGTTCCATATAAGTAAACAGCTTCGCACTAAAAGGAAACATTTTGTGCAGAAGGTAGAAAAATTTATCCTTTGAAATAGCCACCACCGGACATGTCCATACCATTAGTTGTTTCCCTTCTTCATTTAACATAACAGACTCCACGGTTTGCTGTATGTAAAAACCGGCTTCAAGTTCGTTAATGTAGTTATTTAGTTCAGAAATGTATTTATAAATATTCTCAAATGCCGAGTAAAACCTTGACAGGACATCGGAGTAACTATCTCTTAACTCTTCGTCTACTTCTTGGAGAATCTGAAATAAAAAATATCTTTGGATGCTATTCAGTACTAGATTAGTTATTTCCTTTTTGTGCATAAATTATGCAGACTACATACTGGATCGTTATCAATTTTTTGCTCGTATTGGTCAGTCGCATTGAAATATATGAAATCCAAAATAATCGATCCATATTTTTGCTCAAACAGTTTGGAATCCATCCTATAATTAAATAGAATCTATATTTACATTAAATGTTATAAAACAATCCTAATAATAAGAAAACAATAGCCTGTCAAAGAAGTGTTAACCTAAAAACCGGTGGCACATAGTCCTTGAGCCTCATTAATTCAGCAATTACCGCATTTCCTCGCGAGACGAGTCGCAATAGATTTTGCCCACAAGTGTTACTGACACCCAAGAAGTCACTCATTTTTAATATTACCAGGGTAAACAATTGTACTGATCCTACATTTGAATTGTATTTGTTTCTTTTTGGATTTCGGTTCGTGGGTGGTTATCAGCAGGGGGCGAAATCAACTCGTCTCTGTTTTGCAGTCATTCGAGCCCCCCATCTGTTGGCTGCATATCGAAGCTGATCCACTTAAGTTAGCACTAACCACCATGTAATGCTCGTTTAGCAAAACATTCGAATTACATTTGTAAGCTACTAAACACCCGCTTTAATTCTAATGCGCAAGTCACAAATTTAAATGCAACTGTTATATGTATAATCTCGCATCGCTCAACGCTACGAGTGTCTCGCTCAAAAATGTATTTGACTCGAAACTATCGAGTTTCTTGATTTCCATGGGTTGCAGGATACTTTCATTCCTAAGATGTATTCATTATAAACGCTGATTAAATTTTGTCGAATGAGAATTCAGAAATGTTTACCGAATCGAAGTAAATTTTTTCATTTGTCTCACGTTTACTCATTAAGTGTTTCGACTTTTAGAAAAACTATATTACTATATGTATGACTTACTAATTTCGTGTTAGTTACTAGTTTGACAGAGAATTGATAAAAACCAGGCCCTGTAGCAAAGTGTCCTATTGAGAATGCCGTTTCATGGAAAAAAGAAACAAATCGATCATTCATATCAATACCATGAACTACCACTAGCAAAACAACACCGACAAAAGAAGACCTTACAACGTGGGCCCATAAACATTATTTTATATTTTCTTTATTCTCTTTACTGGTCGTTACATACTTCAACTTCAATCAAAAATGGAATGTGCAACATAATAAACAAAGCGTGCATAGCGTTGCAGCCTTCCAAAAAATCTCACATCTTGTGGCAAAACATATATGAACAGCTTCGGATAGAGGGGAAAAACCACTTTTAATTAAAACAAAAAAAAATTACTTCTTCTCTTTTCTCAGTCTCTGTATAACAATCTCAAGTAAAATATAACAAAGTTACAAGATCAGGAGATCAGGACATGTTCCAAGATTTTTATTTTTTTCTGTTTTAAGGAAAAGGAAGGAACTGGAAGTATCGACTTACCTGTTGAGCGAAAGTGCAGACGACATCAGGATCGACATCAGTTATGATAAATATCTGTGGAACTGTGGAACTGTGTGATAATGAAGATCGACAGCAGAGATTACGACGAACCTCCATGGATGTGACAATAGCATGTTACAAAAACGGATTAAAAAAATTGGAAGATACAGATACAAAGAAAATATGAATGAACGTATAAGCAATTGTAAGTTAAAAATATGTTTAACACGTCACCATCATAAAAGTCAACTTTAACGTAATAAAGAATGGTGTACTATTGGAGTACCAATAACCAGGATAAATTTGCAGAATGCTTTAGTTGGTTTAGACTCCGACTGCTTTATCATTTTATACTAGCTACAGCACTCGACCTTCACGAAATCCTACCTACACCTTCGGCAGCTGCAGCGGTCCCTGGAGGTCTTCAGGATCTGAAAGCAAGACCTTTAATTTGTTTTCCATGAAACTTACCCATCCAAGGACCGCAGACCTCGAGCAGGTTACCTCGATAGAAAGCCTGGAGGCTCGACAATACTCAACGAGGGAGCCCTACACGGTCACAAACGTTAGAGAATCACAGAATGAACTTGTTCACTTTCACTGGTGAGCGGGAGCGACATGCAAATCTTACTACTGATCTCGCACCAGGTCCCCGAGAGTACTCGGAGCACCTTGGCCACGTGTCCATGGGACCTCGGACAACCCCTACGTCGAATCGAACCAATTAGTCTGGGGGTGCACGCAGGAGCCGCACAAAAGCCACCAACATCACCGAGCACAAGGGGAGATGTACCGAACCGTTGCGACCTACATAGAACCCCCAGGACGTAAAGTCCCCTCATAGGAGTTAAACATCCCCACGTGTCGCAACCCCCTCACAAGGCACCGCCAGGCATTTACGTACCAACGACGACTTCCCGGGGGTCGAACAACGGAACACACCACCACGTACGTACTCGCGGATCCGCGAATGTAGGCCATCCACGGGGAACCGCGCACTGGCAAAACGTCATGTTTGTTCTCTACTTTCTCTGTAAGCGTTCGTAACCGGCCCGAGCGACGCAACGACTCCTGGACCCTAGCTGTCGACTCTTGCCACGGGCATGCACCCGACCCGGTCGTCCTGGCCGAAGACCTACACCGAGAGGGATACCTCACCCCAAGGGAGAGAGCCACTAAGCGAGACTTCGGACGCGCAGTTTAGAAGAGGATTGATAACGCATCGGTTGTTTTTGACTGCATAACGGCATCTATTTGTTTTGATGTAAACACCAGGTACACTTAACCACTGCACCTTCCGGTCGAGCCCGAGGTTGGACGAGCGTCCCTGCGCGTTCCTGGGGGACCTCCGCAGGGACTCCCCACACCCTCGGGCCCGAGGACACAAACACTTGTTTCTCGATTTACATCACTGTACACAATCTCGGTACTCCCTCCTTCCTTCGTTTTCCTTTTATCTTTCAGTTACCACCAGTACACTGTCCTCATTATGCGAGACTCTTCCACACCGAACGTAATAACTTCCCTAGAGCAGCGAGAAACTTCACAAGATTTTCGGCCCAGCGAGCGAACCCCCCTCTCGACCCTTCGTCTTCCAACCGTCCGCGAGGGAATCTCTCTCCTCTCCTCGTCTTCTTCCACCAACTTCACACTTCTGACTGACCGTCAAAGGTAGGACCTCCTCCTCGGGCGTGTGTGTGTATGTGCGGCACTATGTCACTTACATGGTTACGTAGCGCGTTACATTGGCGACATCTACGTAAAAAGGCTCGCGTTACGACTTCTACCGTTACAGACCGCTCGTCGCACTCGGTATGCGCACATGTAAGTGTGTGTGTGTAAATATATGTATATGTATAGTAATCCTTAATTAGTAAACACATTCGTCTCTTTTACAGTTCTTTCGCATCGCCGTCAGGAAATCTTACGAAGCTTTCCCTCGGGTGCGCAACGATGCCGTTCAAATGCAGCTCCCCATTTACTCCCCGTACTCTTTACTCGACTTAACCCATTTCGGCAGCTCGGGAAGATCTCTCAATCGACTTCTAACGGACGTAGGTAGACGTTGGAACGAGTTAAAATAAAAAATACAGGTCCATACAGTGATTCGATACATTGGTGGGTCCTTGTAAAAAATCTGTCTCCGGACTGAATTCATCCATTGAGAGCTGAGCAACTCTGCGGTCCAAAGTGGAGATCATTTTGTACAATGATGACATGTCATTCCTTAAGCTTTCCAAAGCAAAGGCCTAGTAAAGGCCAATTATTACGAATGATTAAAAATAAGTACATCGATAGAGTTGTCTAAATTTCATTTCACCTAGCGAATGAACTCGAGTGCCTTTCTTTCTCGTACAAGGAACCACGGTAATATCGAATCCCCGTGTATACAGTTTCGGGTATGCTAAAAAAGGCAAAAGAACCTGGAAGACCGAGTCAAATCGAGCTGTTCGTTTCGACAAAGGATTTGCTCCACGGAAATGTCGAGTCAAAACCGAATTCTGTATCGTCACGGCTGGATCGTCGCATATCTCTTTTTCTTTTTTACTTCTGCAATAGAATCTTACCGTAACCGCATGATCATTCGCGAACTGCCGATCAACGGTGTACAATTAACTATCTACAGATATACGATTGCAGAGTCAATAGATGCGTTAAGAGAGAAATACACAATCGGTGCGGAAATGAAAATCTGAAGTTATATAAAAGTTACAGCACGTAATGTGAAAGAACTGTGTACAAATAATTCCGTTCTCTTATGTAATATAATACAAATAACTTCGTACTCTTTACCACTAAGTATATGTTATATTAGTAATTAGTAGATGATAGTCGTATCGTCGCTGCACGGCGAGTTGTCCATTAGAGCCGGAGTGTCTGTTAAAGATAACCGATTCAGCGCCATTCTTAATGACTATGCATGATCTCTACGTGAAATTCGACCAGAGGAATTCGTCTTTTCCCCTGCATCGTACAACCTTGTGTACGTAACACATGAATGGTACTTTTTTTACCAGAGTTACGTTACCTAAATAGACATTACGATAAAATTATCTGTAATTCACCAAGTCAAGGTTCGGCCCTAATCCTGTCGACGCTGTCACTGAATATAAATTGAAATGAAAATAAATCGTGAATAGACCTATCTCACAACTTTGGCGTGATTTCTCACCAATGTACTGAAAAGCAACTTTCTTGTGGGCGAATTTCACACGTTAAGCTTGCATATAAAGATTCATCGTGTATAGATTTATGTATTATTATTACGGATCGATTCGCGGTAGACGAGCATACAGGCGCAAGTACGTACGAGAGAAAACACTTGTCATGATACGAGACCAAACCTCACGGAGACAAGCTTTCTCCAAATCTAATCAACTTGATCAAGATCGGATGCTTTATCAGTAAAATCCTTGCGTTCGGTACAAATAGCATTCCAACGTTTCGATGACACATATTTTACAGAGGAAAATACACGTGCTCGTCTAACGCGCATCTACAGGAAGTGGTTGACCGTAGCGAAAAGGAGTTCAAAAGTGCAACCATCATCGAACGTAACATTCCTGACCTCAAACATCAGCTCACATGAACTCACATTGGCCCTTCCCCCTTTTCCACTGATCTTCCAAACAAACTACAATGATTGTACCGAACTGAACTATTCGGTTCCCACCACCACATCCAAACATCTCTTCGTTCACCACTGGATGACGTTTGCACTACGTTGCCTTCATTACGATCAATCACTCTACGATTAATAATTCGCTCGTTTACGTTTCCGGTACAACGTAAATCGCCTCCCTGGTCCATTGCCAACGATCTCATCATGGCCGTGTACGTCAACTCGAATGTACGTTTCTTCTTATCTCACCGAGTCGTCTTCGCACTCAAGTCTCAAACTCTTTCAATGGCCATGCTTTGAATTCAATGAACTCGAGTCATTAAAACATCCGACTCGTCGCATCATTATTTCATTCTCGTACACAGCAATCGCGAGCAGACAGAGTGGATCTATCTCTGGAAGAGGGATCGGTTAAAAGAAGATGCGAAGACTCGAATCCAACTTAAGCACTACCACCCTTGACGACAACGATCACTAAGTGATCCTCTTTGAGACCCTCCTCGCTCAAGCTAGGACACGTGCGCTTCAGGAGTTCCGTCGAGAAGGCGCAAGGAGGGAAGGCGTAGAGCACGCCCGTGCCCTCGGTATCCTTGTTGAGGAGGGAAATGACCCCGGCAGCCTCCTTCTGCTTCAAGTACGATACCAGATTACGTAGTGGCCTGGTCTGGACGTTGGCATCCTCATTGGTCACCGCGGCGCTCGAGCCGGCCAAGCCCAGGAAAATGGCATGCGAGCTGGAGGTCTGGATCCTCTTGGAGACGTCGTCTAGCTTCGGCTGGTCGAGGCGGAGTCTCTGGGTGATCCTGAGCATGTGCTTGCCCTCCTCGTCCTTCATGAGCGAGTCGATGATCTCGGTGTCGCCGTCGGTCAGATGGAACTTGGCCGGGAAGAGGGAGTTCTTCAGGATAAGCGCACCCTGCCAAACAGCGACGGATTTGCGCGCCACCTCGGTCAGGGTCCTCGAGAGGGAGAGCATGCCGGTGCGCGCGTTCTCGGAGTCGGTGTCCGAGTCGAGGGGCCTTCGCCGAGGCGACCTCGACCTGGACCGATCGACTCCGGGCTCGCGAGACACCGATCGGCGCATGTTGCGCGGCGCCTCGTACTCGAGGTCGGTCGGCCTCCTGGCGGCCCAGTCCTCTTCCCTGGCATATCCCTCGGGATAGGACCCGCGATAAGCGCCCCTACCACCGCCGCCACCTCCGCTACTACCTCCTCCGCCTCTTCGCTCATGCCAGGGTGCGCTTCCACGACCTCGAAACCCTCTGGAGGCGTAGCCGAATTCGCCGTCCGGGCCGTAGGGGTCGTACGGCGAGTCGTAGTCCAGAGGTCGCTGCCTGAAGTCCGCGCTATCCTCGGGGTAGGGTCTCGGCTTGAACCCGAAGCCCGGGGTCACGTCGGCGAAGTCGACCCGTAGCCGCCTGTCTGGACCTCCCAGGGGGAACCCTCGCATCTCCTTCACCGCCGCCTGGGCCGCGTCTATGGAGTCGTACAGTATATACGCGTTACTGTCGCCCTTGATGTAGTCGATCTTCTTGATGGCCCCGAACCGATCGAACTCCCGCTCGAGCTGTGGTACCGACGTCCAGGGTCCTAGGCCGCCCACCCAGATCCGCGTCGTTGGCGTCGCCTTCCCGTATCCGATTTTGCACTGGAACTTGCCGATGTACTGACCCGATAGCTCCACTTTGCATCGGTGAGCCATATCAAGGGTCTGGAAACGCACGAACGCGTACGCGTTCCCTGTCCCCGGGGGTGGCCTCTTTATGTCTATGTCGTCCACTATACCATACTTGCTGAAGATCCTACGAAGCTCCTCCTCGGTGATGTTAATCTCCAGATTCCCTGCGAAGAGGGTCCTTGTGGCCAGAGGGTCGTCCTCGGGGGAGACGTGGTGCAAGTAGTTTGGAAACTTGTCCTTCTTGTTCTCGACGCGTTCGAAACCGTGCACTGGGTGACGGAGAACCAGGTGTCTGGGGGGACCATAGTGATGGGGTGGTCCGCCACCACCACCTCCACTGCCACCTCCTCCAGGATGCACGTGAGGTGGAGCGTGGTGTACGGGTGGTCGTACGAAGTCGTGATGGGGAGGTGGCAGAGTCTCGCGTCTTACCTCTCGGTGGGGTGGCAATCCAACAGGCGGTGGACCGTACAAGCGATCGTATCTTTCCAGGGGCCGATGATGACGTTCCGGACCAGGTGATCGAGCGTAGTAGCGGTCGTAATCAGGAGGCGTGAGAGATCGAGGTCGGCGGTATGAGTCGGGTCCTGGACGTTCGTATACAGGTTCTACGATGGCCAGCTTGTCATACACTATAATCCTGGGCTTGGCATGTTTCGCATCCCTTGCATCCTCTGAGCTACGAAAACACACATATGCCACTCGCTCGTCGAGCTCGTGGGAGATCCGGATGGAGAAGTCCCCAAATTTCTTGTACTCTCGATAGAGGGTGTCCTTGATCGCTTCGTCACTGGCTTTTGGATGAATCGAGCTGACGCAAAGAACCTTGTATCCATATGGTCTGTCCGGTGGTAGATCCCGAGCCCCTCGGAGATAGTCGTCACGGTGAGAGCTAGACTCGGGGTAACCGCGTGCATGATGAGAAGCCGAAGAGCCTCTGCCGGGAGGACTCGGGCTACGAGCTCCTCTGCTCCGACGCCTAATTCTCTCCGGCGTCATTCGCTCGTCGCTCGAGTCTTCGTATCTAGAAAAACAAAGTCATGGTATGGAAAGAAGGGAGATGACACCGACAAGCTGACTCCTTAAAAACCACAGATAGAGTAGAAGGAAGGAAAAATGACAGAATGCGTTGTCAGTGTATCGGCGAGTTCATTATCGGAATAAAGGATGTAATGCCTGTGGTTAGTAAGTAGTGAATATCATGGTTCATTAAACGAAATCGGGCATAGAAAAAAGAATGGGGGGGGAAGAAAATGGCGGATGACGCCGAGCATCGGTGGCGCGGGTGAGGGCAAGGGCAAAAAAAAAAGTGGCGTAATGGGGGAGGAAATAAAAGAAACAAGGAAAAAAGAAATGAGGATGCAAACGTACCGGCCTATAGAGGACCTGCTTCGCTTGACGCGAGGCGGCGGGGTGTCCCGACTCGAGCTTCTCTTCATGTTGTTGCGGATCTTAACCGTGATCTTGTGCAGGTCGTCCCGCGGAATCCCAATCATCAACGTTGCCTTGTGCGGTCCGTAAACATACGAGAAACAAGAAAAACAAAGGAACGCGTCGAGTCTTTCGACGAGTCGAAACCTGAGCACAGCCCAGCTTACTAGCTTAATCGCTTGTTCGATCTTTCCACCTCCTTCAACGTTCTGCTCTTGGAACGGTGGCACTCACTTGACTTTCCCGACTGCTTGCAAAATGGCTGCCAACGGCCGCGGCCCGCACCAACTCCCGATCCGCCCGCGGAGTGCGGACGCCGCTGTAACTTGTACAGCCATGGACGATACTGTTAGGAAGAGAGAAACGCCCCATGATAAATTAGCCTCCAAGGACACTTCATTTTTTAATTTGTCTTTGAGATGGCGCTTTAAGCGACCTAATCTATACCAGGTACCGGGCATGCCGCTTGCTTCGTAGTACTGAAATTTATAGCTACGTCGTCTCTCTGTATTTTTGCTGCTACCAAGGACATTCTTGAAATATCTTAATTTGTAAACTGTAAATCCCACCTAATCTTAAATATCGCGGGGTTTGCTTTGAAACGATACGTGTTGGTTGTATAAACTTTTACCGAATTCGACTTCAGATCAATAAGAATCATTGTAAATAAATCGACGAGATGTCTGTGATCAGGAATTTTACCTGCGATGATTTATTTAAGTTCAATAACATGTAAGTGTTAATGAGGATACTGTCTGTCAGCCTAACCTAATTGTACTTACGTTTTAGGAATTTGGATCCTTTAACGGAGACAGTATCCTTTTATTGTCACCTCCCTTTTAGTTAGTAATCACATTTAGTAGTTTTCAATCATTTCTTAACCTATAAATTAGTATGCATTATCATTTTATATGCAGTACATGGCACACTGGCCAGAATGCTTTCAAGTTGCAGAATCCCCAGGCGGTGAAATCATGGGATATAGTAAGTAATATCGAAGTAAAGGTTACTAGAAATATTTCAATCGTCTAATTTAAATCTAGTTATCGGAAAGGCCGAGGGACATGGAGAGAATTGGCATGGTCACGTAACGGCATTGACGGTGGCACCTGATTATAGAAGGCTTGGTCTTGCGGCAAGGTTAATGAAATCGTTGGAGCAAATTTCAGAGAAGTATGCAACTCTTAAAGTTTGGATATTAAAATCAGAAAGCGATACTTATGAGAATTAATATAAAACAATTCATTTACTAAAAATTATTTTCAGGAAGCAAGCATACTTTGTCGATCTTTTTGTACGTGTCAGTAACAAAGTAGCAATCAAAATGTATCACGAGCTGGGATATATTATTTATAGAACAATTTTAGAATATTACAGTGGTGATCCCGATGAAAATGCTTATGGTAAATTTTATAGAGTTCAATAATAATTAACGTGTTCTTTTTCACAAGTATACTATTAAACTGTAATAAATCTACTTACAGATATGAGAAAAGCTCTCTCAAGGGATTCTAAGAAAAAGTCTGTAATACCACTCGCACATCCGGTACGTCCAGAGGAGGTTGATCAATGAATTGAAAATGTACGGCCAGTTCTATAAAATATCAGTTTGTAAGAACAGATTCTTAACCGTGTATCTCTTGCACATACATTGTGTTTATGCTACTGTTACCGAGTGCCATTTGTTTTTATAAGTAACCTATAAATCGTGGGTTTACAATTTGCAGCAGAGTTTATTTATTCCTTTGTACAATAGTACAATGTCCTGATTTCTTGATCGTACATCATTCGCGCAATTCGTGCGCCAATTTACGCGAATAAATAATAAATAAAAATCTACAGATGGTAGGCTCGATTAGCGCACCGCAAAGATGGCCTTTGTGGGCATTCGATGTTGGCACTCCGTTGCCTGTCAGCTGCCCGTATTGATTCTAATATATCTAAGGACTTACGTCTAGTATGTTATTTACAAAATGAGTGAATTTCATGTATCGTATTAGAGGTGACAAGCACCTATGCAATAGCATGTAATTACGATATAAAAATTAGAGATGAAGTGCCACTCTTGCATTTTTCTTGTACCATTCCCAATAATCTGATAACTATTTGCCATAAAAATGCCGCTTTTAATAGTGCGCACAACAATGGTACTCAGCTCCTCAGGATTCTCGTGCAGAAGTTTTGTACGCATTATACAAATTGCCCTGCCATAATTTTTTTTTTTATTCGTTTGTGATTAGATGATAAAGGAAGACGTCTGCTAGTTCCACAGGACGCGTAAAACGGGTACAAAACTTTTACAGCGACAGGACAAGTTACAGATGTTACATGCGTTACCGAGTTACGTCGTTAAATAATGCTCGCTTCCTTTACAACTATTTGGTCGTCTCCTTATATAAAATAAATGGTTTACTCGGTGAAATAAATACGCAGTATGCTGAGACTAGTAATTATCAAAATATGGATAATAGAGGGTTACTAGTAACGATATAAATGATACACTTTTTCGAGGCTCTCGATATAAACGAGAGAAAAAAAATAATAGACTTGTTGGTAAACTTATACATTACTCAAAGTATTCAAAATTCCTGGCAAACGTATTCAAACTATTCCTTTTAAACGACTTAATATTTGCCACTAAACGAGTAAGCAATGCAGAGGCTCACGTAAACGGAGGTGCCCTGTAAGTTTATTTTCAAGTCAGGAGGAAATGTTGTACACTGTAATACTGGGAAACTAGCAGCTTACACTTTATTAACCTTCGTCAATATTCTCCGTACGAAAAATGTACATTGTTGTCAATACTTGCCGTCCGTCAGCGTATACACCATTACCGTTCGCGTATGGTAGAAAATATTTCATATATCTTTTGAGACATCATTTATACCTTGCGACAAATGCGAAAGAGGCTCCTCCGTTTGCTTAAACACAACGGTATGCAATTACGAAGCAAAAACTGACCTCCAGGAAACGCAATCGCGATTGCATCGACCGTGCTTTGATTAAAAAAATAATACAAAAATGTCATATCTCCTTTCTAATATTTATATCCTCGGTGGTTCACCAAATATTTCACATACTCATAATGTGTTGCATTGATTTGGCAAGAAGTAGACTCCCTCGAGCGGACGTCTCGAATCTTAGTAACAGATTTTTCATTTTCTCTTGTTTTGAAACCATCTAAATCTCTAGACATATAACACCTAATGTTTATATGTACACGATACGCAACTCCACCTTCGATATTAATTACTTTATCTTATGGTCTGGTATATAAATACGGTAGCAAAAGATTTCAGCACATTGCTTTTAGCCTTCCAACGGAACTACTCGATGTGATTACACTTATTGATTTAGGCAGTGTTCTCGTCAGTATATCATTCCCCGCGGTTTACCGATCGAAACCCTTTTGACTCCGAACTTTCACAGAGCAGCTCCGAGTCTCCCCTACTTCACGAGCGTCGGGTAATAATTTTACTTAAACGAGAGCCGATCGCTCAATCGAACACTCCGTCCCGCTTCGGCGTTCGTCGAATGCAAAATTAGTGCCTCTTTAGAGCCACGTACCGACAGTCGTAAAATACGTTGCTTCTGCGGCGAAATAAATCCTGCAGTCTTTTCAGGGTCTTTGGTGGTCCGGAGTAGATTTTAAAATGTCCGGTTGCGTTGGAAGACAGCTTGAACCTGAAGTAGGAGGTCATAACGATACTGAATTACAAGAATATGGTAGCTCTACGTCGTACTGCCTTTCCTTAGCTTACCAGTAGCAGGCCTCAGAGTTGATTTTATGGACCGGTGGGATCCATTGCGCGTCAAGGTGTTCATCTGAGGCGTTCCGGGCAATGCGTGACCCAAGGCATTCATGTAGTCGGCGATTAGGAGAGTTATTTCCAAGATCTTGGGTTTACTAAGCGCGAACAAAAGCTTCTGCTCGGCAGCGCCCTCGTCAGGGCACGCAACTAACATGAAGTCGTCGAGGCATCCGCCGAAAGTTACGATGTTTGCGTAATTGTATCGGCACATGACCGCCATGGTTTGCAGTTCCAACAAGGTCACGCTGTCCTCCGAAACCGCTATCCATACGGTGACCGGTTCGGTCTGTTTTAGCTGTTGAGAAAAATTCCTATTATCGTCCTCGACCACACTTCGTGGACAGCCATGCTTAACGAGATAGTCCGACGACTTCTCAGCTGTTTACCTTCGCCTGATAAAGCGTAGCTCCGAAGAAAGGCCACTTTCTCGTGCAAGTTAAATAAATACGCACGCAGTCCAGCACACTGCGACCCTTTAAACCGATCCACTTCTCCTGCAGTTTCTCCTGCAGCTCCCTAAAGGCAGAATGAACGATTTAAATATCGTAGAGATTTTACTTTCAAACGGTTCCTTCCGTACTCCAGCTCCCTCTCGGTCAAGGCATCGATGTTATATTCACCTCAGTTGATCGGCAGTGATGTTGGATCTGTACCTGACCGGGTAAAATTTATCCAGAGCTTGGAGCACGAGATGGTGAGGGTTATTTCCAGGTCCACTGCCTCTAGCTTTGTCGTTGTTATATTCGCCGAAATCAATCTGAAGAAGAAGAGGTCAAGGGTAGATCCTGGCGTTGTATCCCAGAACGCGTTCAATAGCGGATAATCTATATTAAATATGTCTTACCTGTGCCATGAGCGAAGCAAGTTCAAACGCCAGTTCACGGTTCAGGGGGAACTTCCCTTGCACGACCTGCTGATTAATTTGGTAACAGAGCAGGAGACGTTCCCGGTCGGTCTCCATCTTCGCAGCCTGCCGCCAGTAACATCGGGATTTATAAGTCAACTGGATTACACGAGTGTTTTCAAATTTCCCGGACCCCTTCTCCCTCAGAGCGGTCTCCCACTTGGAGATGATGTCGCAAAGCTGAAACGCAAACCCCAGGTTACTCGTTTAACCGACGCGTTGGTCATCGACGTTACCCACCTTGGCTTGCAAGTCGATAAAGTGTTCCAGGTCCTTCTCGATCGGATCGTCGCTGAAGAGAGAGAATCCGGACTGATGAACGTCTCGGCAGCCGATCTCCTGGTTCAGAGTGTTAAGGAACTCCTCGATGGTGGTGCTGCCGTCGAAGCTGACCACTTGATACGTCCCGTTGAGGAAGTGAACGGGAATGGCGTGTGGTAGGGAATGATGGTACGGGTTCTTGAGGAGGATGGACAAGACCTCCATCCTGGAAGGCTTCACCTCCCTCCCTCCGTTCTGCAGCGTCCTCTCCAGGGCGCGTTCGCAGTAGGCAGAGTACTTGCCGCATTCGGTCCTGGGGAACACGTGGGGAATCAGTCGACGGCAAAACAAATGGTTAGAAAACGGAGGTCCCAGGGAAGTCGGCTTACTTGGAGTCGGCGTTCCTCTGGAGGTGGAGCTTCAGGTACCAGAGCAGCCGATTGTTCCTCGGGAAGAAGAGGGAGACGGCGAGCGCCAGGAGCTGCCAGCCCTGGACGAGTACGTACTGAGCGGGATTAGTTTTGCAGTCCAAGATCGTTGCGGTCGAGTGGCCCTGCGTGAGCGGAGGACTGTGAGAAGTGGAGGCCGTCGATTGTGCGTCCGCATTTTCGCCGGCGCCGTTCGCCGCGGGACTTTGCGTATCGCAGGTGAAGAGCGATTGCGTGGCGCAGAGGAGGAGCTGCTGCAATGGTATGCTGGCATACTACTACGCCCGTGCACTGGACCACTCCTATCCTACGCTATCTCTCTCCCTCTTTCTCTCATCCTTTATCTCCCTTGCAAAATAGTCCCTCGACATGTCTGCCGTTAAGGGGACGCGAAAGTGGCATCCGGGAGGTCAATCGTTCATGAAACTTTTCTCCGAACTGAGGGTGCCGAATCGTCTCAAACCTCACAACGTGAACGTGGAGGCTCCAAGGAAGGTCCTGACCCTCGTGAAATTTCATATTTTATAAGTATAAAAAATATCTACGAGCAATTAAGAAAAGAAATTGAAATTTCACGAGTTTCAGGACCTTCCTTGCACCCTCCATATTTACATTGTAACGTTTGAATAGATTCGGTGCCCCCAGTTCGGAGAAAAGTTTCATGAACGGGAACTCTTCGACGCCAGTTTCACGTCGCCTTAAGCTGGGTCGCGGGCGCCAGGTCGCGCGTCCGCGACCAAGCCCTAAACCGCGGGGAGCTTTCCCTTGTAGCCGACTTCGATAGTCCAGCTTCCACGGGCCGACACCTCCGAGATTCATTGATCGAATGATCCTCGCCGCGGTTACGACTCGACTCTACTTCCCACCCGGATGGATCGAACGATGCACCTCGACGTGGATCTACCTCGTCGAGGAGAATGGGTCCTCGGCCTTGTTAGTACAAGCGATATGGTAATCGAATTCTCCACGCAAAACCGCATGTAATGTTAATCACAGGAAAAAAAAGAAAAAAAAGAGAAAAAAAAAAACACGCACGAGTCACCAAGTCGATGAATCAACGAGAGATGCGGATGAGAAGCGTCTGGACTATTGATGTGGATACATTGTAAGCAGCTATTGTAAGGTTGCAGCTCGAGGTCGGTTCCCTCTCGCGCGTTTTATCGTCTACGATGTCGGGTCATCGTTCTCCGCTGGGCTGCGGCCGACAAAGCATCGAACTCGTGGACCGGCATCCTTAAATGAACTGGCTATTGCGACGACTAGTATCTAGTTTCTCGAAGCAGCATTCAAAAAACACAGAGTGTCGTAATCAACTGTCGCAGCAAAACTTAAGGAAAGAAAAACTTATTCCAAAATGATGTCTTTCTGTGTGTGATATCTTATGTACACCAACATACCATTCTGCAAGTGTGTGTCTTTGCGCCGCGGAACGTATTTAGACAAATCTTTACCGACTCGAGATCCCCCGGTGAAAGACGGGAATTACTATGTCGCGCAATGAGGTGAGACGAAGAAATGAGTGCTCGAGAAAGGATGGCCGGGGAACGGGGACATTGTCGAAATATGTTCTTCCTACGTGATCGCGGCGCCAGGGTGGGGTGATAGTCTTGGAGGGGTATGATGTATATTATATAACAAATAAATGGTAAAAAGTAAAGAACTTAACTCGAAGTACCTAAAAGATAAGATCCATGCAACTTAGAAATCGAGAGAGCCTAAGGATAGCACATGTAAAGCAGCAAATGAAAGTGAAATGTGGATGATTGTTATAACTAAAATAGTTGTTAAGACTTTGTCAAGTATCATTGTTAAGTCAACGTTACGGCACTTCGTGATAATACGGTTAGTGATTAATAAAAACTCTTAGACGTTATTTCTAGTGGGAGAGAAAAAAAAAAAAGAAGTGATTAATACACTCAAACCGCTTCTTTGCATCGATAGAATTAGACATAATACTTGACCAAGCGTTCCGATGTACCATTTTGTACGCTTGCAGTGGCAAAGTCTCGTCACCGCGTATGGACCGATTGTACACTTTGCAAAAATCCATTCATTCGTTGTTATTCAATTTCTCGTATCTCTTTTTCATCGATTAGGTACTAGCGTCGAGTCATACCGGTTGCAGCGAAGCGAAAGCATTATATCTTTGCTGAGCACGTCACACGAGGCGAAAAACATAAAATGGTACATGGATTTTCGAGTGTTTGTTAAACAATAAGCAGGACTTACAACGCGCGCAGTACCCAGCGACACGAGTCTGGCGGCCTTTTTTACCTGTACGCCCAAACGCTGCTGGGTGTGGCGACTAGTCTGCTTTACCAAAGCACATATGAATTCAGATTGAAGTTCTGGTTGGTCCAAGCATTGTTGGAGCGCGTTTTGAGCGAGAACGACGTGATAGTCTATGCCGGCTTGTTCTACAGCCACAGACATGAACAGCTGACAAGCCTGAAAATAAATATGTAATATACACCCGGTGCAATCATGATTTATCAAGAGCAGGAGAGACTCCACGTTGAAATATTTAAAGTGTCCCGGGGAGTCTAAATTTAAGCACCTTAAATAATTTGATGGCCTCGGTCTGCAAGGCTTCGGAGGTAAGACTGGTCAGCGGGCTGGTAATATTTTCCTTAGTGTGCAGCAATAGTGGGTGCCTCCACAAGACGCAGCTGGGGTCACCGTCGACCTCCATTAGCCTTTGAACCAGTTGTTCGTACTGAGTACCCGCGCTAGGTCCTCCACCAGAAACAACGGTCAAGTGGTACAACCAATTATCCTTATCTTGCTTATGAGGCATTAAGAGGTACGTAGGTCCTTGGTGGGTAGGAAATATTCCAATGGTTCGCTCATGTGGACATTCGGCGTCCCTTTCTTCGCTGTCACTGTCAGAAACGTGCTCGACTTCTTCAACGCGAGCATCCCTCATATTAATTTGGCCAATAGGATTCTGTAGAGAAAATCGAAATAATTCAGGGGGAGGAGTTCGCGTTTTAGATATTTCTAATTTCAACGGAATCGAAGTTTAATTTCTAAGGTATTTGACTCTTGAACTTACGGTATCTGTAGGGCACTTAAAATACAGGAACATTTTGCCGATAAGGACACACCAGCACTTTTTGGCATGCCCATTCTTCACCTTCGTTAGCCAACCCTGAATCGTCGGTTTATTATCTTCCTTACTGAGCAACAACTTCGTGGCATTTCGCCTCTGAACATTTTGAAGGACTCTTATCCAATCCTCCATCGTCGCAATGCAATCCGCGGTTAGGTAATAAGTTTTCTTGCCGGTTGCGATTTCGAACGTAGCTGCGCCTTCTGCTCGGTTTATCCTGGAAACAGATTCCCTCGATATGACGACTGGCTTTAAAAATAAAATTCAAGGTCATCGTTAGATTTTCGATGTATCACATACCTGCATACTTCATCCAGAATAATTTGACCCTGCGGCTTCCGATTTACGTCGTTCTGACTCTTCCAGTATGTGAGCACTCCGTTCTTCAAGACGAACCAACGTTTCCGCCAGGTTTTTAGTTTGCCACCGAGCTTCGCCAAGTGACCAGTTTTCTCGAGCGATTCCAGCCTCTTCGGACTCTCACCGGACACTCTCATCAATAGACTGGGCATACTGGATTCCAGAGATGTCGAACTGAGGGCATCGGGGGGTATTGCATAGTCCTCGGAGAGACCTGACTCCAAGGAGGTATCTGTGAATAGAGGACTCGTAAAGTTGCAGGGGATTTATGGAATCTCGTGGATTAATGTAACATGAGCATGGGAATATTAATTATTTAACAAAATATAGGAAATAAAATATCTTAAGTGCAAATCACAGACTCACCACGTTTTACACTTTTACTGGGAGAACCACTCGAACTCCTTTTAGCAGGACTAAGGCTGCTGGTGGTTTTAACACTCTTCGAAGGACTGCTACCACTACCCAGAGACGAGTCAGTGTTATCCGATGAGCTGTTCGTAATTCTCGTATTCGTCTCTGTTTGATTTGGATGTTCTTCGCCATCTGAACTATCATCAGAACTGTCTCCAAAGGGCATTGACCTGATTTGACTCGCTCGACCTGTACAAACAGTAGTAGAATTTAAAAGCATTAATATAGACATGCATAGGTTACTCATAGCATTTGTTTCAACTTCTTAATAAAATGAACCTGCTTACCTTTAACCGTAGCATACACAGGTACTGATATATCGCAGTAGCCCTGAGAATTGTGAGCTGTTAAATTATGTCCGGTTGCATGGGAATGTTTCGAAGAAGTTGTCGTATTGGTAGTGGTCGAAGGTGCTGATTCTTCGTTGGGTGGTTGACCTATACCGAGTCCACCATCTGCCACCTTAATAAATTCCAAATACATTAAATCAGCAATGAGTCTTTTAAAAATTGGTAAATAGATTAAAAAAAAAAACAAAGGTATTACCTGATATATTTTTGCTTCCCAGCTTGGAAATCTGTGCAATGGTGGTGTGGGTGGTCGAGGGGCTTGTCCTCCACTTTGATTCCAATTAATTCCTTCCCTGCTTGGTGTATAAATTTCTGCATAATCGTGAATGGCCTCTGAGCTGCCACTGTCTCGATTCGTTTCGGAGACCCCTGGAATACTGGGCAACATAACCAAATTTTCGACAGCAGCTGCCAGCTCCTCGGACAAAAGACTGAAAAAATATATAATCGTTGAAAAAGTGAAACAAGAAATTTCCTAACAATTAAGCCGAGTAAGAGGATTATATATAAAAAAAAAACAAGCAATATAATGTTGAGTCTGTGATCATTGATTAAGCCTGGGCTCGTCGACAGATCCCCGCAGGAAGTCTCAGGACGTTACAGGGTACCACATTTTAAAAAGTCGGGCTCCGCTATCACGTCGTGAGACCTCCCAAGGAGAATCAGCGTATATTCGACATTAATACGTGAGTACTTCGTATTACGATACACATATTGACTGAGGCATGAACGTTATACCTGGAATCCATATTTGTTAGGGGGATTCCTTGCTGGATCGTTCCACAAGCAGATAAATGTCTCCTGTGCCTAGTGCCAGTTTGTGGTTCCGGAACCGAACTTTGAACACTTTCAGAAACAATCTGCGGAGTGCTTTCCAAACTTTCGGAACGTCTGCGCAAGGTTGGATCTACCTCCAGCGATAAAGATGCTCTTGTCGGTGCCTATGTGACATTAAATTTTGTGATTTGACATAAAGTTAATCGATTTTCTAAAATAATTTTTTGATGCTTACTGGTGGTCGCAATCCAATATTAGTAATATGATTCCGAAGCAGTTCTAGTTGTTGATTGCACTTATTGTTCTGCTCTCGCAGATGTTGGTTCTGTTGTTCCAATTCTCGCAACTTATTTGTTACCCATTCTTTAATACGTGCTGCTTTTGCTTCAACCTGCCTTGCGTCTTGGAGTCGCAGTTGCCTCTGCAAATGAGTAATAAATTTGTTTTACCCACGATATCAAATTTATTGGTAAAATATCACCGATGATTATGACAGATAAATACTTTGAAGCTTCGGTACACATGCACAGCTCTTTATCACGGAGTCTTATCTACTATATAAGGCCGAAAAGTAACTAAATGATATCAAGCTTATGGTATTCGACTCACTTGCTCCTCCACTTGAGTTTCTAGCTTCGTGATGCAGGCACAGTGGACATCTTCGATCTTATCATTCTGAGTGCCCGAGGTGGATGGTAACGAGTGCGGCGGAGTGCTGACACTGGACGTGCTCAAGCAATATTCACCCTTCACCAGCCGCTCCTCCATCATCCGTACCTGAGAAGTTGAGACCAACATCAATATTACCCTCTGAGTAAAGTCATCGATAGGAGGATTTGATTCATTTCAAAGATTATAGTCAAGATCGTACAAGTCACATCCATACTGATTTTGACGTTTCATCCGTCACCGTGCCTATCTTTTCTTACCAACCGTTACACCACCCTCGGCAGAAAATCGAACCCAAAACAAGGGTATTCGTTTCCCATCAAAGCCTCGTAACAGCCTTAATTTCGGTCATAGAAATTCACTCCACCTACTGACGTCTCCCTAGGAAATTCCTCTGTCATCGCGAGAGGTTTATCCGAACAAACATCGAGGCACTTTCTCACACAATTTAGCAACAAGGTAAGACGAGGCGTATGATCCCACGAGGCCATTTAAACCAAGAGTGTTCCTGACGGTTCCGAGGCTAGGAGTGAAATCACTGCCAGAGACTCCGTCTGGCAGACACGTCCGAGAGGGGACACGCGGGATTAACGTGACAGAGACGGCATTCCGCGTTGCATGTCGCATGCACCCCGTTTCCTGCGGAGGTTGGAAGCAGCTGTCAAAAATCGATATCGCTTACGTTACACGCAACATACGACGGGTGTACCAAGAGAGGGGAGCGAGAGCTCGAAGGGAGCCGCACCGAGAAAATCAATAGGATACGAGAAATCTTTACCCAACGACACGCGGCACTGGGCGTCGATAACCATCAGTGAAACACTCCTTATCTAAGCGAAATTCGAAGATAGACACCTCGAGCTCCTGCCGTCGAGATAGCGGCGGAATGCACCGGCGAAGACAGCGCCGAAGTTACGAGGCTCTTCCATCGACCTCTCCTTCCCATTCCGCAACCTCCTGTTAGCTGCATTATTTCCTAATTCTTCGCCGAGTCATTTACGCTTATATCCACGCATAAGTGAAAACTCCGCGCAAGTGTGCGTGCAGAATCAACGAGGTTATCGACGGTATCGATTTCCTTCTCCCGATACCACCGGGGTCAATGTCTGCACTCTCCTAACCCTGCATCCGAAAGTTCCGCTGTTACCGAAAACCCTACCTAACCAAATTCACGATTTAACCCTATTTCCTCTGTACTGTTAACACATCAATGATCGAAAGTACATTTAACCTAACGATCTTGATAAAAAGTCGCTAGCCTGTCTCCGAATTCCCGTACATTGGCTTCCGCGAAAGCGAAAGTCCAGTTCGCGGGAGGTTCGCTCCACCGGGCGTCGGCCAATCAGCGTCGAGTTTTGGCGCGGCGGCCCAGGAGAAAGAGGCCGGCGGCGCGGGGCGTCTTACCGGGACAGCGGGCGGCCATGTTCGATATCGGTCCGTTCGAGAGATCGCACTCTCGCTCCGATTTGATGCAGCACGTCGCGCGCGGCGACCTTCGGGTAATTCACGTAATTCACGTAATTTGAGTAATTGGCGCGGATTTCAGGGCCGTCCTTCGCGCGGCTCGGCAAGGATCTCGCTCGACTGGAACGCGTAGATCGACAATCGATTTCCGGAGAACCCGTCGATCGATGATCGGTTTCCGGGAGCGGGCGTGCCTTATCGGGCAAGGTGGACCGATGGACGGACGCGAAACAATCGAGTTTTGTCCCACGTTGTCCGGCGCTCGAGATCGAACTAAATGCTGCGGGGGTTTCCTGGAGTCGGTGAGTCACGTTGGCTCGGAGCCAGCGGGGGAGAGGGGCGGCGTGGGGCGCGCATATAAAGCGTACACCATAAAGTACGCGCCGCGGAAGACGGGGTGGCCAGCGTACGGCTGGACAAAAGCCGCCTTTCCGGACAAGATGGACGTCGCGCAGGACTTGAATCTTTTATGACCTACGCCGAGCTAAAAGAATCACTTTCTAGGTAGAAAGGAATTCTGCGGCGGATTTTTACTCGCTATTATTTATACAATAAATTCTAGGGTCGACCGAGTGACGTCACGAGGCTTAGTTTGAAAAATCAAGATGGCGCCCGGCACGATGCTCTAGGTTGTTCCACGATTGTTCTATGGAGTTTACAGGCATAAATCGAGAACATGGATGGGGAATGCCGTTGATAGTTGGTAGAGAAAATAGCGATCGTGGATGATATCGGTAAGTTGAAGCGACTCTTTGGATATAACATTGAATCATGCTGGCACCCCGCCAAAGGGCTCCCAGAGAGTCCCCTGTTGTTTCTTCAGGCAGAAATATCCATTCATGTACAGTAGGCGGCAAAAATTGAACGCGCGCACGGTTATAAAATATAGTTTTACCATTTTTTTTTTTTTTTCTTTAAAGTAATTCCCAATTCTCATGGTCTCTCATCACTGTTTTAATATATATAAGCCGTTTTAATATATATAATTGCCGCGAAGTCGCGTCATTGTTTAATATTTGAAAGTTATATATTTTGTACGGGAAAGTTGAACTCGAAAATAGGGTCCCTGGAATTTGTCAACGAAGTATGGCGTTCACTTTCTACCGAGATGGGTATGGAAGATCGATCGGTTCTGCGTGAAGATGCAGATGGGTTCAACGATCGAGGGTTAGGAGTTGATGAAATATTTACGGTGAATGTACTGTCGCGGGAAAACGCTCCTGTCCTTTTAATCCCTTTGGATGGTGGGTGCGCACGGGAAGTGAGGATTACTCACGACTCGGCACAGTGCCAATCCTATATACGACCGTCTCGTCAAAGCGAGCGTAAAGCCGCTGTCTCGTGTTCTCAAGTAATTTCTATACGTTATTTTTTTCAAAGCCGAGTCAAGACGGACGAGAAGCCGGGCGCAGGAAGGTCGGCCCAAAAAGATGTCGACCACGGCCCGAAATAAGAGACCCGACACCTTGCGACAAATCTGACTCTCTGCTCCGTTTCTCCTGTATCTAATGGCTACCATGCAACGAAAGGGTAAGCCCTTGCACCATTGTCGCCAGGACGGAACGCATTTCGTGCGAGAACGGGGATGAAATATGAAGATCCGATGACCACTATTTCAGGGAGACTACAGGGGTGATAAGATTCGAGTTACCTTTCATCGATGTCACCTGTCGGGATCCATAACTCGACGCACAAATTTGGCAGCCAGCTGTCACGACTGACAGCCACCAGGTTGGACGGATGCTTCTCGCGCCGCGTTTCTTGGCCAAATCTGGCGAACACTCCTGGCAACGTGGCGGACAATGGAAGGGCGATACCGGGGTTCATAACAAAACGGAGATGTCAGGGTGTCGGCCTGCCATCTTGGTCTCGCGACGAAAATCAATGCGAGACCACGCGGTGTAACATGCGCATGCTACACACGTGTCCAGCTCCGGATGACAGGGTCTTCAGGTACGCCCTTAGGGGTTCGCGACTCTGCTAGGTGCAATCGATGGTGTCGGTAAAAGGGCTGGTAAAAAGGCGGCAAGTGGTGGTCCCTTATCAACCAATAACCGAGAAGTTCGTCGCGTCGACGGCGACATCGTCGGTAAGGTCGCGTGCTATCTCGTCGTGGTTACGGGGGTGGACAACCCCGAGGGTGCAAGCTCTGTCGGTACCACTGGATGCGTATGATACGATTCGAGCTAGAAATTCAAGCCTAGCCGGTACGGCAGTGATCCAGCAATCTCTGGGGGTGGGTGGTCGGAAAAGCATTCGGTACGTAATCGACGTTACCGCTGGCGTAAACGCGGGTTTAATTATTTATTCATCTTCCTTCCAGGGCGCTCGAGCTCAATTAATTTAGTGTGGACTAATGGACTGACGTAGGAGCTCCAGCGCTCCGCTACAATCCGAAGCTACAAATTATTCGGCAGCTGCCGGTGGAGTTCCGCTTTAACGCGGACGAGCCGCAAGTTCCCTTCCTTCACTCCTATCGCAAGTCACGAGGATCCTGCAGAAGTAACCAGGCCTCACTTGACGAGGAATTGCAAGTGCGGTAGATCTGAATTATATCGCCGCCGTAAAGCTCCCTCGGAGGCGGGCGAGGAAAAAGTAATTTAATCGTGAGCGGATCGGCTTTCCCGTTTGAATTAATCAGACTGACGCTCTATAACCAGGTAATACGGTTCGGTGTGAGGCAACGTACTTATTAGCTACCGCGACGTAAACACATGTCCTGTCAACCGTAACTTCTGATATCGACAGATCGGCCGAAGTAATCGACACGGATTCCAGCGACAGCGGCTTGGCATATGGAACGACTTTCGAGGGAGACAACTGCGGTGTCCGGCCTCAAAGACGGAAGAAGAAATCGACAACGAGCGGTTTTTGGAAATCTCCTGGATACGAAGGGCTGACGCGGTGAGAGCTTCCTCAACGACGAAACCGTCGCCTTGTAGACGGTGTACCGGGGGCGACGGAGAGTCGGTAAACGTTCCCGGCCAGAAAACAGTCGGCACGATAAAACGGAAAAGCAATCGGTGTTAAGACGCGAACAGGAAAGAGCCGCGTAACGTACGGGGCGATAAAACTGGGTTATCCGGACGTTTCGCAGATCGGCTCACCTTGTCTTCCGCCTCGTCTGCCCTGCCTTCCGCCTCCAGGACTCGCTGCTCCAGCTCCGAAAGCTGCAACAAACAAGAAACAGCCAAGATGTAGTTTATAACTCCCTCCGAAGAGCGGGGGGAAAATAATTATTTATCATAATTTAACCCCATTGTACGTGACTTTTTTCAATATTTCAATATTTTGCGAGTGCGACGGGACCTCGGGTTTTATTCATTCCGGCCGCGTGCAACACCACGTACATAAATTACATCTTAATTAGGTCACCCTTCTGTCACGCTATCGCAGTCGGGCGTCTTGTAACTTTCCTCATGCAACATTTTCGTGACCGGTCCGTTCCGTCTCGAGTTCAGACAAGAGTACATTCCCGAATTACCGGCGATTTGAATTATGCGAATCCGTGCCTGGCGTGCCTGGATTAGCCTGCATTTCTGTTCCAATGCCGGCCCGTCGAGATTAACTGGAATCGGGGAATTAAGGAGGTGATCGACGTGTAAAATCTAGCACGAGGAGCGGAAACTGGCGTATCGGACGCCGGGGTAGCTGGATTTACGACGCGTAATCGCATCGCCACGTTGTAAAGCTCCTCATCGACGAAGTTGCCGATTAAGTTCCCCCTCTCAGAAACTAGAAACTATCTTGGCTTTCCTCGAGACACTCCCCGGCGATTTATGTTAACCCGACCGACACTTGTCCCTCCAATCACCGCCCTTAGTACGCAATCACCTCCGGCAATTTTAATTATTTTCTAATTCTCCTTTTTCATCATTTTTATATAATTTTCCCACGCTGTTCATATTTCTCCGAGACTACGGCCTCCACCACACGCCGGATCTGTCTCAAGGAAAAAAAAAAAAATGTTCATTGAACCAAAGGAATATTCAAGTTAAAAAAAAATATTTTCTTTGGCTCAATGAATTGTCTTTTTTTCTTTTTTCTGGAATTCATGCGATTTTTCGCTTCGCATAGAAATAGATACGCAGGAAAAATCTCGCACTGTTGTCGTTGGTTGACGTTTGAAATATGTAGACGAAAGTGTCAAAGTTTTGCATGCGAAAGTTCATCGGATGAACTCGAGAATCGGGTATGCGAACGTCGGAGGCCTAACGAGAGTTTAATGGATGCGGCGGCGTCCTGAGCAGGTCCTAAGCCCGGCTTAATCCAGCCTAGATTGATATATGTCTCCACGCGTATCCTGCGTGATCCTAGGTGAGCGTAAACCCGACCAGCGATATGCGAGCACCGCGCATGCGTCGCTGCGAGCGCGTTGACACCCATTCGCACGTATTCGCGGGTGTTCTCACGTATTCTCACGCATGCCCCCGCACTGTGCGAGTACTTGCTATTACGCGCACATGTCCGGGCGCACCGAGACAGCATCATGTGCACGCGGTGCAGCCGAAGGGTCGCATGTGCGTCGCCCGGCCGACACGCACGCAAACCTCCAGGAACACGTCCCGTGCGTGAACCGCGGTGTGCGACGCAGCGTGCGTATGTAAGGAGCGAGAAAAACGGAAAGAAAAGAGGGAGAGGGGAAAAAAAAAGCACTGCGAACACCCTCCGGCACCCAAGACGTGCGAAAAAGGAGGATCCGATGGAACGCAGGGGCACGTGGGTGCTCACGCATAAGGTGGACGCAGGACGCACGTACACCGCCATAAATAAAGACGTCGGATGAGCGCGACACCGTGTACACGGGGTGATTAATTAAAACCGAGGTTAATCTACGGGTCGAGGCCTGGGTTTAAGTGCAATTTATGCCGTCCCCTGGGTTAACCTCGAAATATAATTATTCGAAGCGAGGACCCCACGCAGAAGAGGGCCACACTCCTTCATGGGAGGCTGCGCCGTGCGTAAGAAGCGTAAGAACGGGGACGAGAAGCGTACCATGTGTGTAGAGTAAGCGGTCTAGTTGGTACTTTTGCGAATGCGGTACCATGTAGTAATATGCGGCTCCACGCGTACAATGCGTGTCGAAAATCGAGGAGTGCGAAGGCAATGCGGAGCGCCGGGCATCCGTGAAAATCCATCGGCGAATCCCAATTTCGAATTGAATTCGGCTTATCTGCATATCAACTAGGTGGGCAGAAATCCGATATGAGCCGTACACGTAGGCGGAAATGCAGTGTACCGCCGAGCCGGAGGGTGGAGTAAACAGGGTCTTGCAGAGTCATCGGAAAAGGACGGGAGGATGCGAAGAGAGCGCAGGACGCGTACCGAGAGTTCGTCTCTTAATGCATGGGATGCAGTAGCCTTGTCTGCGGTTTCTGGGAAACACGAATGCGCCGCATTTCCTGCCCGTTAACAATGTTGACTGACACGGCGCCTCTTTGCTCAGGCGCGATCCTCCCGGCCTCTTCGTTTCCTCTCCCCTCGGCGGAGAAAGCTTCGCAACGCGGGATCTATTAGCAAGTGGCCTAAGTAATAAAACAAGGAGGCAGGGACCGAGTGGAGGCTGCGAGGAGGGCGAAAGGAGGACTGCTTTTCACCTCGAAGAGGCTCGCTCGGGCGTAAAAGGGCCCGCGATAAAAGGGAGCCTCCCTTTTAAGACTGGCGACAAAAGTCCTTAAATAACGCGCCGTAAAACAATGCTTAAGCACCACTTGCCCCCGCGGGACTAAATATCGGATGTAATTTACGTTTAACGCGGCGACCTCGTTGCAAGACCCTGTACAGAAAATATCGTTGCGCTCTTCTATCCATGTATTACCATTTTGCATCTCGGAGATGAATTCTAGGTATCATTGTCGTGGGTAAAATTGTCTTCAGGTTAAAGGATGATTTTCGACTCGCGGGTTAACATTTCTGGGGTTTAAAACATTTTTATGGTTTTATGGTTAATTTCGAGATATGTCCTGCGAGCAAAGGGAGCTAGCAAGGGCGAAGACGACTCGCAGGTTAACATTTCTGTGGTTTACAAGATGGCTTTCGACTTGCAGGTGTCAAGTCGACCCGGAAGCCAACATGGTGGTGCAATTGTCGGCATCGATCGGCCCTTCGCGCGCCAGGCGCGAAAAAGCTCCCCGGCGAGGCTGCCGCGGTTAATCTCGAGATTCATCCGGCGAGCGAAGGGTGCTCGCAAGAAGGAAGAGGGCGGCTCCTCCAGCATCGGGGAGGGCGCAGTTAGCAGCATCTGGCGTCGAGAGAAAACGTAGAAACGTCTTCCCCGGTGTAAGGGCTGCGGCTCGAGAGGGTGGCACCCCCTAGGAGGTGGTCCAGGGGGTGGCAGGGAAGCGCGGAAGCTGCGGCTGGTACATTAGCCGCGAACCAGGCCCTGGATCTCTCAAACTGTCGTCAGGCCTCGGCGTTTTTGCGCGAAACCCACCCTAACGAGGGAGGAGGGTCGCACCCCCCGAAGACGAGGGGAGCGCATTTCCACGACTCTCCGCGATTTCCTCCGATTTTCCGCCGAGGGAGATCCGGAGAGTCGCGGACACCGGCTGGAAGGAAAAGGTCCTCCCTTATCGCGTCGATATATCGAGGGAGGAGATATCGAATCGGGGTGGACCTTCCCTCGAATCGCCCCGCGAGACCGAAAAAGGACGGATAAGTCGATCGTTTTGTCGGCCGGTCCTCTTCCCTCTCTCGGTTATGAATTTTTTATGCAAACGGCGGTCCTCCGATTTGCTTGAAAGGCAAGGACGAAATTGTGCGGGGCGGGGGGAGGGTTCTTACCCCCGCCCCCCTTCATCCCTCGAGATCTGAGGCTTATTGGCAGGCGTTCGATCAGCACCGTCGAAACATCTCCACATTGTTTGCCGGTAAAAGTGTACGATTCCAATTTGTATTTTTTACACGCGGAAGCGATTTCCATTGTTTGTCAGTTTTGGCTTCGAAACGCCGGAATGAAATATGTCTCATCAGCCGGGGGTGGAAATATTTCCAGGGAGAAATCTCTCCGTTTCCCCGATTCCGACGACTGCAAATCGCTCGAAACCGCGCTGGCGTGTCCCGGCGTTCCGACCGAAAATTGAAATCCATTGATGTCCCATCGAGACGCGGATTCCGAGGGGGTTGGCCTGGAGAGGGACAATCGAGTGCCCAACTAAATTTGCTCCACTCGAACGCGTCGACACCTTTTCGACCAGCGCTCTCGATTCTCCCCATTTCGTGATGTAACCCTAATGGCCTCGTTACGAGATCGCGATACGTAACTAGCCCGGTTGTCCTGCGATTCCGCAAAAAAAAAACGCACCCTGGACTACACTGTCCGAATTGTACGGAAAAAAAAAAAAAAAATAAAAAATAACCAGCGATTTTGCGAATGTATCTGTTAGAATTAATGCATAAGTAGTCCTCTCGGAGAGGATCCCAATACCGAATTTCCGGGGATGATCGCCCCCCTGAATTTTGGAAAATTTCACCAGGGGGTTCGATGGTTTCCTCGCGACATTTTGTACGTTTCTTATTAACAGAGACGTTCGCGATGCCACCCTGATGGCATTATTCACCCTTAACCTCGCGGTTGTAGCATCGCGCGGCGATTCCGCCCCGGAGTAACGAGGCGATCCTCTTGTGTCGCGATCACGCGACTGCCCTCGTCGGGAGGGGTACCCAACCCCATAGAAAATGGGTACCCAGGGTTAGTTAACGTTATCGGGCAATGGCGTGATCCGGGGCATAACGCGCGCCGTACCGTTCCGGGGCGGTCCGCCCGTTCCTTATATTGTCCGGGAGAGTTATGGAGACCTCGACAGGGGGTGCGATTTTGGCCGGGAAAAATGAAAAGGGGGAGAGAAATGGGGTAATTATCCTCGCCCCTGATCGGGCTGCCTCTTGTAACTCGGCTCCACCCTGAAGACGCATACCGCCTACGGAACATGCTCCAAGAAACATTTATTCCATCCGTATGTCTACCTCGAGGAAAATAGAAATTGTCATTGAATCTAAGATATACTTAATTAAAAAGTACCAGAGGAATATTTTCAAAGAATAATTATCCAACTCGTATAAACTGGAATAAATTGGATGCAACGTTCCTTCGGGATTATGACGATTTGAGTTTATTCGTAATTGTTCTTTGAGTTAGAAAAAAAAAATGATGTCTCTTTGGTACATTGAA